ACATTCACTCTGTCACCAGGTCAAGGACAACATTTTCTGAGTCTCTTCTCCCTGAACCTATGTCAGACTGAGACATGGGCTCCTAGCATTCGGCAGTTGCAGGACCCTGGCACCTTGGGGCACAGAGTCATCTGTGACCATCTCTTCGGTATTCTTTGCACCCAAGATATCAGACTGTTTGCAGTGTTACCTAGTACATGGGACTCTTCCAGTTGGTCATACTCCCTCACCTAATTAAATGACTATATCTGTATTTTGTATTTACTTATGTGTAGACCTGTTATTTCCCCACTAGAATGTAAGGTCCTTGATGGCAGGCTGTGTTTATTTATTTATTCATGCATTTATTTATCTATTCATTCATTCATTCCCTCGTTCTTTTGTTTGTTTATTTATTTGCTTGTTTGTTTGTTTATTTATTTATTGCCTTTGTATTCCCACAGTGCCTAGCCATTATATATACTTAACACCTTCATAAATTGATTTAAAGTTTTAAAAAATTTTTATTGAATTGCATTGTTCCTGCCTTGAGAGGATCCAGTTGTCTCTTGTCTCAATCCTCATAAAACCATTCTCAGAAAAGACTTTGATCTCTAAGACATCCAGCTCTAACATTCTGTCAGGAGAGAATTATCTGCCATGAGTGCCTATGTCCAGTATGCATTTTGTTTTCTCCCAGGGGCATTTGTGTGGGAGGTTTTGTCCTTCAATGAGGTGTGAAAGGCTTTCACCTTCCCTCTCTCCCCATCTCCCTATTCCTACCTCCCCCATTTCTGTGTCCTTGTTTCCTGCTCCACATTTCTTCAATCCTCACTCCATTTATTTCTTCTTTTCTCTGCCCATCTCCCCCAGTGTAGCCCTCACTGCACTCTTGCTTCAGGGAAATACATTATCATGAGAGGTTATCGTCTGTTTATTGTTTACTCTTCCTGGATATTTTGCCCTGCATATTTGTATTCATGTGTCTCTGGGAAGGGTTCAATGGACTGAAAGTTTGCAAGAGGGCAATTGAAGAGAGGGATTCCAAGCTGACTATATGGATGATGGATTTAGGAGCTAGGAAGAGCCTCCCCAGCTGCTCAAACATGAAGCTTGAGCAGGACGGCCCCCAGGACAATGGAGGTCCTGTATGCTGTCACCTAGGATGCTAATGTTCATCCTGACTTCATAGAAGAAGTAGGGAGAAGGGGGACAGAGCTTTGGCTTCTTGGTCTCTATCTTGGAGGAAGGAAGGAAGGAAACAAACATTTATTAAGTGCCTACTATGTGCCTTTTGTTCATTTGTTCTTGTTTGTCCTTCATTCTCAAAGAGGATCATGACAACAGGAGGGTGATGCCACGATTTGCAAGTGAATTGGATTTAAGTGAGCAAGGCCTCTCTCTCTCCTCTGGAGCTGTCTGAGTCCAGTAGAAAGATATAGATCAGGATGACTGGAGATAGTCCCGAATGCAGTGGGAGCCCTTGACCTTTTTAAGTTAAGGTCTTTTTCAGATCTCAGTTTGACTGAGGCAATGCCCATTCAGTGATTAAGGCTAGCTAAGAAATGAGGCAAAGAATGGCCTTTTACCTGGTCCAAAAACCAAAAACCAAAATCAATCTGGGAGGGGAAGACCCTCGGGGTGTCTGGCCCAAACTGAAACAATTGCTATTTGCCCTCACTCTGAGCCATCAGAGCTCAAACAATGACCAAATGAGGCTTGGGCTTGGGACCCATTGTTGGCCAAGCAACTGGAGCCAGAGTGATTTGGGTTTAAGGCTTGGTCCTTAAAAAAGAAATCTAGGCCAGAACTATGCTAGGCACTTTACAGATATTATCATAACACCTTGGGAAGTAGGTACTATTATTATCCCAATTTTAGAGTTGAGGAAATTGAGGCAGATAGCACCTAAGGAATTTACCCAAAGTCACACAGTTGGTGTCTGAGGCTAGATTTGAACTCCAGTCTTGCTGACATAGGGTCTAACAATCTTTTTTTACTGTATCCCCTAAGCTTCCTTTGTAAAGGATTCTTGATACTCAGAACTAAGATTCTGAGGTTGGTTGTCATTGTTCTGTTTGGCTTCAGGGAGCTGATGTATGGGGAATGGAGGGAAGTTGCCAAGAGGCAAATTTAGGTTTGATTTTAGGTAAAACTTCCTAACCATTTGAGCTGGCCATAAGTGGAATCCATATAAGTGGATAGAGTGCTGGGCCTGAAGTCAGGACAACTCCTCTTCCTAAGTTCAAATCTGGTGTCAGACACTTACTTGTTGTGTAACCCTGGGCAAGTCACTTCAGACTGTTTCAATTTTCTCATCTGTAAAATAAGTTGAGAAGGAAATGGCAAACCACTCCACTGTCATTACCAAGAAAACCCAAAATAGGGTCATGAAAAGTTGGTCAAGGCTTAGAAAAAAATGACTGAAATAAGTGGAATGGGGTTTCCTGGGAGACATTGAGTTCCCCATTCTTGGAGGTCTTCATGCAGAGGTTGAGTGGTCCCTTGTCAGGTATGTTATGGTGGGGATCTTTTTTGGTTATAGATTGACCAGATGCCCTGATGAGGTCCTTTCAACTCTTCATTTTGTGTGATTTTTATGGCTAGAGAGTGGGTGATCGCCACCATTAGAACCCCTCACTTGCTGTCTTTGCTGGAAGGCTGTGCCAGTAGGTTGGTGGGCGCAGGCATCTACCCATAGCTATTAAGTATGGCTAAACAGCTCCCAGTAATTTAAAAATATTGGAAGGAGAAATGAAGTCCAGCCACTGGCTGTTCTCTTAGTGCAGGGATTATGAAATTAGTAGAAATGAAATATATTAGTGACATAACCTAGTACAAAACACTCTGAGCACCTAAGACTGGAAGCTTGTCCTTAGGTTGAACTGAGGGCTCCAGAGAGAGTATCAAGCCCCAACATCATACAACCAGGGACAGAAACTTGAAGGCGGAGGGTGGGTGTAGTGGGAATATTTACCACCAGGGGCCACCAGGGAGCTGTTTCTGTTCAGTTCAGTCCTGTCACTCTTTGTGACTCCATTTGGAGTTTTCTTGGTAAAGATACTGGGTGATTTGCCATTTCCTGCTCCAGCTCGTACTTTTTCTTGAATTGCTGTAGAGGGGCTTTAACAAGATCCCCAGTGAATGAGATACAGAGAAAGGGATGGAGATAGGGTGGGTATAAGGTAGTCTTTCCAGGAAGGACTCAAGGGCAGAAACTTCTGAGGAGCAGAAGCTAGGCTCCCACTAGCAACCTTAAATAGGGACCCCTTCCCAAAGACTTGCTATTTGTGCCTATTGGGGGCAGAAGAAAATGTAGAATGAGGGAAGGGGAGGTGGTGATTAAAACAGAACAGGGGCATTCATGTGAGAGAAGAGAGCATGGATCAGACTCTATGGAATGAAGACATGACTAGTGGAAAACCATTTGTGGGCCCCTACAGGAAGGGGAGAGTAAGAACAAGTGGATTGTGGGTCTGGCAGAGGTTGGAACACTCCTCTGGTGATCTGAGCTTTGAGACTGTATGTAGCTTTAGGTTTTGGGGATTTCCCACACTGATAACAGTATTTCCAAGACATTGAGGAGTGAGCCCTGGCGGATATAGAGATATAGTTGGTATAACCAGTAGTTTTTATAGGGCAAAAGAGAGAATTTGGGGAGAAATCAATGCCTTGGAATCTGCATGTGGTATTCACTCGTAAAAGCCCTATGCTTCCATGCTCTGCTTCAGTGAGTGAATAAAAAAAATATTAAATACTTCTTATACGTCAGAGACAGGGTGGGAGTGAGGTGGCATAGTAGATAGAGCCCTGGCCCTGAAGTCAAGGGAGACTCAACTTTCTGAGTTCAAATGTGGCCTCAGACACTTACCAGCTGTGTGACCCTGGGCAAATCACTTAACCCTGTTTGTCTCGGTTTCCTCATCTGTCAAATGGGCTGGAGAAGGACATGGCAAACCACTCCACTATCTTTGACAAAAAAAGCCCAAATAGGATCAGAAAGAGTGGGATGCGACTGAAATGACTGAAGAACATCAATAATATATGCCAAGCAAGGTGAAATGGGAAGGGAGGGAGGAAAGAAGATCTTCCTGTCCCTGTATCCAGGTAGTCTTATCCAGCTGCCTCCTTCCTTCTTCCTCCTCTGGCTTGGATCTAGAGCTAGAGTCCTGGGGAGAGAGGCAGTCCTTTTGAGGCTGCTACCAACATAGCCAGCCACAGCTGGAATGGAGTAGGCCACATGAGACTGGCAGAAGGTCTCCCATTTCTCCTTTTCCCTTGTTCCACCTCATTCTTGGCCTTTGCTTCTCCTGCATTATTGCCATCTAGTAATTCAACAAACATTTTCGAAGTCCTTTTGGGGACTAAATCATGCGCTTCCTGTGCAATGGGTGAAGAAAAATGGAAGTCTTCAAGAGCCTCTAGACATATCAGGGAGACAATACAAAAATAAAAAGTTTAATAAAATAATATGAGCCCACAATGAGGGGCAGTGTAGTATAGTGGATAGAGACTTAACCAGGAAGACCTGGAAGTAGAAACATATTGTCTGTGTGACCCAGGACAAGTCATGTAATCCTCAGTTTCTCAGGCAACTCTCTAAGACACTAAGTTCCACAGTGAAATGATAGAGGCAGTTTTCTTTCTTTCTTTTTTCTTTTTTTAAAATTTTAAAAAAATTTTATTAATTTGTTTTGATTTATCAATAATCACTTCCATGTGCTTTTGAGTTTAAAATTTTTCTTCCCCTTCCTCCCCCCCACCCTCCCCAAGACGGCGCACAATCTGATATAGGCTATACATTTACATTCCTATTAAACATATTTTCACATTAGTGGTGTTCTAAGTAAAAATTAAAACCAATAGGAGGAACCATCAGAAAGAGGAAACAAAACTCAACAGAAGAGAAAATAAAATAGCAATTCAACTTTCATAGTTCTTTCTTTGGATGTGGATAGCATTTTCCATCACGAGGCCTCTGGAGATGTCTTAAATCTTTGTATTGCTGGGAAGGGTTAAATTTATCAATATTAGTCATCGCACAATGTGGCTGTTATTGTGTACAGCGTTCTCTTGGTTCTGCTCATTTCACTCAACATAGAGGCGGTTTTCTTACCCAGAATTCCTTACACTAATGAAATCATACATCTGGATTAAAAAGAAAAGAAAGAAAAACCCATTACAAGAAACACCATAAGGTTGTCAATTGCCAATGAGTGGGATAGGCAAAGGGGGTTGTCGGAGCTCCCTGGAAGAGGAGACTTTTTGGAGCAGAACTTGAATTAGCCCTAGAAGAATAGAGGGCATCTGGAAAGTTAATGAGATAAAGGAGGGTGTTCTAGCTAGTTAAGGGAGCCCAGAGGCAAGGAAGGCCATTGCCCAAAGCCTAACCCTGAGTCTTTTCTACCCCATGCTTCCTTTTAATACATAATTATACACTTGACACTCACTAGCTGTGTGACCCTGGGTAAGTCACTTAACCCTAATTGCCTCAGCAAAAAAAAAAGATAATTATAGGTCACGCAATGGAGGCATGAGGCCAAGCAGAGCCTAGGGTCTCCAGAAAAGTCAGCCCCAATTGGCAAACCACCCCAGGGTGTTGGTGTGGGTGTAACACTTTCCAGGTGGTGACTGGTTGCAATGGGAATATTCACCACCAGAGGGCAACAGGGAGCTATCCTCTTGCAGTGCTTTGTTAAAATTGTAGAGGACTTTAATGGGGGTATCTGGTATGATTGGAGATCAGGGATGCTGATGTGGTTAGGGCAGGAAAAAACCAAAGTCTCTCTAGGAAGACTTCAAGCAGAAGATTCTGAGAAGTAGAAGCTGAGTTCCCACAAAAAGCCATGAGGTCACCTTCCCAAGGACCACGCTGTTAATGTTTCCTGTTAGAGAGAAGAGATGGGCAGTAAATGAAAGGAATGGGAGGATCAGGGGCAGGAAAGGGAAACAGAAGAAGGGGAAAGAGAATGGATGAGGAATGGTAGAATAGGAAGCTGAGAAAGGAAAAAGAGGACAAGGTAGTATAGAAAAGTAGAAAAAAAGAAACAGGGAGAGGAGATGAGGAAAGGAAACAGTGAAGAGGGAGGAGAGGAATGGGTGGATAGGAAAGATGAGAGAGAAAATTAGAGGAGAACAGAAAAGGAATCAATGAGATGGAAAAAGGGGAAAAGAGAGGAAGAGAGAGTCGAAGGAAATGAGGAGAGGCAAATGGGGAAACAGGGAGAGGGGAAGGCAAGTTGACAAGCATTTATTAAATATCCACTATGTGCCGGGAAGAGAGGGATGCAAAAGAGGGGTTGAGTTGAGAAAGGGAAGGAACATGGGCAGGGGACATGTAAGAAAGGGAAGATGGCTAAGAAATATGGATGGAAGCATCAGGTATCTTACCTGATTTAACCACACAATTTTGATTCTTCTTTCCTGAAATGCAAAGAGAAAAAATGTCAACTCCACTCTGGGTCCACACCCCACGCCACTTCTTACCCAAATCTCTGCTACTGTAGCATATCATTGGCACTTCTGGAGAACAGAAAGGCTGAGATGAAATGTCACTTCCCTCAGAAAAGCTTCCTAAAACCCACAGCTATAAGTGCACCCTCCCTGCTCTGAGTCTCCGCAGCCTCATGCCTTCTTCTGCCATGTCCTATATTGTAATCGTCATCCTCTCTGAGAGGGTGAGCTTTAAAAGGAAGGACTCAGCCTTATCTATCCACATCCTCTGAAGGATAGTTAAGCATATGATTAATGGCACATAGTGGGACTGGGATAGGGAGAAGGTATGGATTCCCGTCTCATTGCCTCAGGCTTTCCCTTTGGAAAATGGGGATGTGACTCTTTTCTCTGCCATCAGCCCCCATCCTAGTCACAGGTCATAGGTAGAGAGAGTTTGGCCAGAACTTTGATATTAGGCCGGGCAGAGGAGGTGGGCCTCTGTTTATAGAGCAGCTGCATACGGCAACATGACAATCCTCCCTTGTGTACCTTAATTTCTAGCTCACGAGGAGTTTTCATATGCATGATCTCATTAGATGATGACAATTAGTCACCTGTGGGGGGGATACCAGCCCCATTTTCAAGATGGTGAAACTGAGGCTCTGAGAGGGGAATCACTGAAGCGGAAATTGCTAAAGGTCATATAAGGACTCGATGGAAAAGTTAGGAATTCCAACTTCTAGGTCTCCTATGGCCCAGTTTTTTATATCTCATGGACATGGCCACTGAAGGCCAGCAACCAAGTACAATTCATAATAGAATTTCTTCTTCTTCTTTTTTTTTTGGTTAGGCAGTGGGGTTAAGTGACTTTCACAGGGTCACACAGCTAGTAAGTGTTATGTGTCTGAGGCCAGCTTCAAACTCAGCTCCTCCTGAATCCAGGGCTGGTGCTCTATCCACTGTGCCACCTAGCTGCCCCCCATAATAGAATTTCAGAACTGGAAGGGACCTCTCATTTTTCGAAAGAAACTGAGGCCCAGAGAGGGAAATGAACTTGTTGTATGTTCAAACTTCAAATTAGTTTTAGGGCTGGGTCTAGAAACCAAGTTTTTTCACATCTGAGGCCAGGATTCTTGAGGTCCACCATGATGCCTAAAGAAACTTCCTCTTCCCTTCTCTTCTTTCTATACCATGACCTTCCCATTCTTGCCCTCCAACGTGTCACCTCCCAGCCTGGTGTGGTGAATACTGCTCAGGTAGGCACAGTTGAAGTTGCTGCACGTCTGTTTGAGGCTTCTTAGAGTCACCAGGTTTCTGGTTCCATCCTGGGAGAAGTTAGACACCTGGAAGAGCTCATTGGGTGGGATGAGCACCTCTTGCTCATTGGGGAAGACTGAGAGGTGCTTGATGGGGGTCCCAAAACACGTGGTCAGGGTAAAGAAGGTGGCATTGCTGAACATCTGGGCCACCTTCCGCTCCTCTGAAGTGGAGGCAAACTGGCCAAGGCGGATGATATCTCCAAGCTTCCTGGGCTTGAAGTGGGTGCTTCTCCTGCCTCGGAATACCTCTAGCCAGAGTCCTCCTTACAGCTCTCAGGAGCCCTCAGTAGCTGCAGGGCCCGCATCAGGTAGAAGTGCAAGGCCTTGAAGGGAAAATGCTCCATGTAGACCTCAGTAGAGCTTCCCAGTTCCCTCACAGCCAAGTTCAGCTCCCGATATAGTGTGTTGGATGAATTAGTATAGACCATGACAGCCAGTGCATGCTCAGCCTGGAAGCCTGGGGGCAGGGAGAGGTTCTGATAGTTTTTCAAAGAAGCTGTGGCAGCCTCCCATGATTCTCTGAGCAGCTTGTTCTTAGCCATCTCTACCTGTAACAGGATGGGGGCAACCTGCTGCATGTCCTCCACACAGTCGGTGTAGGCATCATCGAAAGTGTCTGGAGCCATGTCAAGGGTCAGTGTTTTGCCTCGTGTCTATGGTGGGAAAGAAGAGAGAGAGGATATGGAGGAGATAGGGGCTCTGGGCTTTACAGGCAGTCAATAAGGCTTTATTGGTTTAGAAAACATTATATTCTCCCCCCCCCCAACTGTGTGAGCTCTTTGAAAGTAGGGACTATCCTTCACTTTTCTTTGGATCCTTGACCCTTAACCTTGTGCTTGGCACAGTCAGGCAGTTGTAATAGACTGGAAAGAACACTGTCTCTGAAGTCAGAAGGCATGGGTTCCAATCCTTCCTCTGATGGTTATTACCTCTGTGATGCTTTGCCTTCCTGGGGTTCAGTTTTCTCAATTGTAAAATGAGGACAGTTAGATGGCTCAGTGGATAGAGTGCTGGGCCTGGAGTCAGGAATACACGTGTTCAAATTTGGCCTCAGACACTTACTAGCTGTGTGACCCTTAGTGACCCAAGTCCTTTAACCCTGTTTGCCTCCGTTTCCTCATCTGTAAAATGAGCTGGAGAAGGAAATGGCAAACCACTCCAATATCTTCACCAAGAAAAGCCCAAATGGGATCAGGAAGAGTCAGACATGACAGTATAAAGCACTCTTTGCTTTGTCTCCTTAGATAAGGTACAATCTGCTCTAGCAAAAACCATTTCTTGCAGCTGCCCAACTCCCAGCACACAAGGCAATTGGAGGGGAAGATTTCTAGGATATTTTTAAAAACCTGTCAGGATCCTAATATGTATAGGTCCCTATCACTGGAGATATTAAGGTGAAAAATTTAGGCCTTGTCTCCAAAGAGCAGACAACCTAATGAAGATAGGAGATAAGATATCTGCACAAATAAGCATGATTTCCCATAGACTAGGCAATGAGAGGTTGTTGGAGCAGGCAGAAACACATCTACTTATATGTCATTTTATACAAGTATACTTAGATACCCAGTAGAACATAAGCTCCTTGAGGGCAGGCTTCTGTCTTTGTAATAATAGCTGGCATTTAGGTAGCACTTTAACGTTTAAAAAGCACTCAACAAATATTGTCTCCTTCTGGTGCTCAGTCAGACAGAGCTGCAGATGTAGCTCTATACTTAGAGTCAGGAAGATGTGAGTTCCAATTTAGCCTCAAACACTTACTAGCTATGTGACCTGGGGCAAGACACTCAACTTCTGTTTGCTTCAATTTCATTAAGTGCAAAAAGGGAGTAAAAATAGCACCTGCTTCCGAAGGTTGTTATGAGGGTTAAATGAGATAATATTTGTAAAGTGTTTTATAAACTTTAAAGATGTATTAAATATTCTTAGGTTAGAAAATGTTTCTAAAAATGCTGTTATCATCATCATTATTATTATTGTTAGGTTCTAAAAATATAGGAGGAAGGAAAGATCACTTTTAGCTGGGAGGTGTCAGGGAAGGTTTTTGGAAGAAGGTGGCACTTGAGAAACAGTCTGATATAATACATAGACAGGGCAAGCTGCAGTTAGGACATTGTGAATAATCTGGTCTGGATGGAGCACAGAATGTGCGAAGGGGAGATAGGGATTGGACTTGTGGGTTCATTGATTTAGGGTACTTCCAGATGAGGTAGCTCTGTTTGCCAATGCAGGTCAGTATCTTCTCTGAAACTTAGTCTTAGAGAATTGTTCAGGGCACTAGAGGTTAAGAGACACGCCTAGAGTCACCCAGTCACTGTGTACCCAATATGGAACTTGAACTCAGGTCTTTCTAGCTCTGAAACCAGCTCTCAATCCATGATATCATCTCCTAGGAGACTGAGAAGGGTAGTAGAATGGAAAAAAAAAGCTTATTAATAGGTAAGTTGGTGTCCGATAGTGGAGGCCAGCTGAAGAGTTTACATTTTATCTTATTGGCATAGTTTTTTGTTTCTGTCTTGTTTTGTTTTGAGAAGAAGAATAGTACCATAGCTATTCACTTTGACAGGTGCCTTAGTGCTGAATTTGTTTCTGGAATTGTTCTGAGTTGGAGAACAGAGACCATAGTGATCTGGTGCACTTTGGGAAGCCTTCTAGGAAGAAGTGGAATTTGGTGAGGAAGAGGGCTGAATGGAGAGGTCTCTAAGATGGACCCAAAGGGGTCTCTGCTTCCAGTCCAGCAGAAGTTGGGTAGGAAGGGCAAGGACAACGGAAAAGACATCTCCTCAAAATGTTGAAAAACCACCTGGAACCGACTTTGGGGGAAGCTGTCACCACCATACCTAGAGTTAGGAGCTGGTATGTGGGCTCCAGAACCTGCTCAGTGCTGGTGTGTGTGTGTGTGTGTGTGTGTGTGTGTGTGTGTGTGTGTGGTGCAGGAGAAAGGAAGAGTGGTACCTGAAGGATTCGTTGGGAAATGAGGATCACATAGAGAACCACAGCAATGGTGAGAAAGTACTTCATTTCCAGCTTCTCTGGGGGTAAGATAGCAAGGCTTTAAATGTACATAGTGCATTATACTTTTCTGAAGTAGAAGAATTATTTATCTTATTATATATATATATCTATATATAAATATATCTTATTATATATTATCTTATTGTATAACACGTATTATATCTATTTATTATAATTATTATTAGCTGAGTTCACCCTTAACAAATAAGGAAGGTAGGCTCAAGGGGGTTGATGGTATCTTCACTCCAGCCCATGTAGATCTCTTTCTGCTCTTTATTATTCTAGCGTTAAAGATCTGCTGCATTCCTTTGGTCAGTCAGTCAGTCAATTAATAAACCTTTCTTAAGCACTTCCTATATGCCAAGCACTGGGCTAACTAAGTAAGGATTGAGGATTCAGAAAAAGCTAAAAACAGCTGCTACCTTCACAGAGCTCACATTTTAATGAGAGAGACAACACGTAAACAATAAGTTCTATATAATGTAAATGGAGGGTAATCTCAGAAGAAGGACACTAACAGCTTGGGGAATTGGAAAAGGCCTGTTGTAGAAGGTGGGCTTTGATCTGAGTCTCAAAGGAAGCCAAGGGAATCTGAGACAGAGGTAAGGAGAGAGAGCATTCCAGGCATGGGAGACAGCCATGATGGAGTGTTGTATCTGAGGAATTAGCTGGTCTGGGGAGTGCTTGGAAGGGAGTAAAATTTAAGAAGCCTGGAATAGTAGGAAGAGGCCTTATTGTAAAAAGCTTTAAATCATAAATGTAAAAATTTATTTTGAATAGGGCAGGGAACATGGTTAGATCTCTGGTTTAGAAAAATCCTTGTTGTCTGAGTGTAGGATGGATGAGAATGAGGAGAAACTTGAAGCAGGGAAACCAACCAGAAGGCCATTTCAGTAGTTCAGGATAAGATGATGATGGCCTGAAGCAGCCCAAAGTAGAATACTAGGCTGGGCAAGTAGACAAAAGGGGATCTGTCTGTCTGTCTGTCTGTCTCTCTCTTTCTCTCTCTCTCATTTTCTCTCTCTCTCCACACACATACACACATATCCCTATATAGAAGGGTATATATGTGTGTATGTGTGTATGTGTATATGTGTGTATATATCTATATCTACACACATACATACACACATATATTTATTTATTTGTATATTTCTTCAAATAAATTTTTATTTTATTTTTCTTCAGTTACATGCAAAAATACATTTTAATATTTTAAAGATAATTTTGAGTTCCAAATTCCCTCCTTCCCTTCCCCTCCTTGAAAAGGCAAACACTTTGATATAGATTATATGTGTGCAGTCATTCAAAACATATTTCCATATCAGCTATGTTGTAGAAGAGAACACAGACAATGGAAAAAACAAAGCAAGAAAAAGTAAGAGAAAGTAAGCTTTGGTCTGCATTGAGACTCCATCAATTATTTCTCTGGAGGTGGATAGCATTTTTCATAAGTCAATAAGGGGACATATGTGAGAGAAGTTGTGAAGTTAAAAATGACAAGATTTGCAAGAGGTTGGTTACATGGGGGTGAGTGTGAGTGAGGAGTTGAAGATGTCACTTAATACACACTGACTGGCATTGTTTTTATGTGACCAAAAATAATGCACAGAAAAAGCTTTGCAAGGCTAAAAGTACCACATGAATATGATCTATTATTATATTGTATATAGGCTGATGAGTGTATAGTTCTGATTACTGTCTTCAAGGAGAGGCAATGACATAGTAAGAGTGTCTTACACATTTCTGTATGACTTCCAGTACCAAGTGCAAGTTACAAAGAAACAGATTTCAACTCAGTTTCAGGAAGCATTTCTTAATGGGCATGGTTGTCAAAACACAAAATGGGTTTCCTCAGGATGTGGTAGGTTCCTCATTCCTTCAAATGGCCCAAGAGTCTGTGACTTTGTGATTTTTGCCTAATGAGACTTGTAGCTTTCTGGGGTGTGGGCCATGCCTTACTCTGCTTGGCACAGTGTACTGCAAATAGGAAATGGTTGTCAAATGATTTAGAATTTCAGCTCATTACATTTTGTACCCACATCATAACCATCTTCATCCTCATCTTCATCATTATCATCATCACCATCCTCATCATCATCACTTTAAAGTTTGTAAAGCATTTTGCAAATATTATCTCATTGGAAAGTAGGTGCTATTATTATCCACATTTTACAAATGAGGAAATTGAGGCAAAGAAAGATTAAGTGATCTGCCCAGCTAGTAGATAGATAGATACTAATATCTATACACAGATAGATAGATAGATAGATAGATAGAAGATACATTTGAGACACATTTTATACTGCTTATCATACTTTAATACTTATAAACTTATACTTCAATACTCCTTATTCAAGGAGATGACAAACATACATAGGTAGATAGATACCAGTATCTCTACACAGATAGAAAGACACGTAGATAGATAGATACAAAATACATACAAGATAGCTTAAGTAGTACTTTTTAAACTGTGGGTTGTGATTCCGAATGGGGATCAAGAAAGACATATTGCAGAAGGAGGGATGGATGGCATGTAAGCAGAACTTTGAGGGGAACCAGGGCTTCTAAGAGGCAGTGGTGAAGAGGGAGTGCAGTCTAGGCATGAAGATAGCCTGGGTAAAGGTAAGGGGAAGTAAAATAGAGTGTCAGGTGTGAGAATAGCATCATCATAATCATCATGGTTAATTCATCAATGCCTCCCACCAGCTATGTAGCCAGGTGGCTACATGAAGGAGGACAGGGGCCCAGAAAAGACATCATTTGAGACTTACTTCCTCTTCTACCCCTGTCTCCTCATGGGCAAGAGAAATCCTAAATACCCTCTAATCTAGTTCTAAATGTCTTTGCTACCCTTGGGAGGTAGAAAACCACCAAGGATTAGAAAGGGACAGTTCCCCTTCAAAATCAACTTCAAACTGACCATTCAAAGCTGAAGTTCTAGACTAGCCTACATTTGATCTTTCATTAATGATACTGCTATGTACTGAGCTACACAGAAGGGAGGCAATGCCTAGAATGTGGTATCCAGAATAGCGCACAGTACTCTTCATATGAAGTTGACTAGATCAGAAGACAATGGGACGACTTCACCTTCTTCCTTTTGGATACAATCCTTCCATAAGCTCACATCTACCTTCATTATCCAAATTCAATTATATCCAGCCTCATCGCTACACGTACTCATTCAACTTCTCATCCCACTCTCATCTTCACATACGCTTACCCTCCCATACTTTTATAGAACCTTTTTCCCTCAACTCCCACCACACTTTTATATGCTCTTAGATTTAAAGCAGAAGGGACCTCAGAAGTCCTCTTATTCAACTCCTTTTTGTCAGATGAGGAAACAGACCCAGAAAGATTAAATACTTTGTTTAAGGTCATACAGATTTGAACTGAAGTCCTTCTGATTCCAGGGTCAGTGCTCTTTCCATTGGGTCACACTGCATCTTAAACCCACTAAATAACATACCTTAACACCTCCCAAACTCATCTGTTTACTTTTATTTCCCTAACTCATCAACAGGCACCCATGCCTCCCAAACTCACAGAAACTTTGTGTATCCCTCTAAGTCACTTAAAGATCATAAATCACAGATCTAGTGGTCAAAGAGACCCTAGATGTTTAGTCTAACCCTCTTATTTTATAGTTGGGGAAACTGAGGCTTAGTCAAGTTAAATTATATGTCTAGGCTACTCAGATATAAAGGAAGATCATCTTCCTGAGTTCAAATCTGACCTCAGACACTTAGTAGCTGTGTGATCCTGGGCAAGTCACTTAACCCTGTTTGACTCAGTTTCCTCATCTCTCAAAGAGCTGGAGAAGGAAACGGCAAATTACTCTAGTCTGTTTGCCAAGAAAACCTCAAAAGGGGTCACAAAGAGTCAGACACAACTGAAAATGACTGAACAATAACCCAGGTACTAAATGCAGAGCTTGGATTTAAACCCTGACTCTTTCTACTTTAACCCATTTAAAACCTCTTCAAACTCTCTATCCCATTCCTCCTACCAAAGAAAATGTTTTGTCTTTGGAGTCAAAAGACCTGGGATCAATGCCTGTCTCTGCCACTTATTACTCAGGTGACCCGGGGCAAGCAATGTATTATCTCTGGGCTTGTTTCCTCATCTGTAAAATAATGGAGCTGCACTAGATGGTTCCTTCTAGCTCTAAATTTACGACCCCATGATCCCTGACAAGTCATTATCCATAATCCTATGGTTTTCTCACTAACACACCCAAGCAAGTCTACCTTTGTGTCCATTCACAACTCACACACATATCAATTCCTTTCTGTTTCCTTTACCTTTTATCCTATGTTTTCTTCTTGGTGTTGCCTTTTCTGTCAGCTATTGACCTGGCTTTGGGCAATGCTCTGACTTTAATAGGAAGGAAATAAAACCACTTCCCCCACTCTTCCCCCAGTCACTGTTGAGCAGGAAAAGCAAGGGGTTGTGGGCATTGGGAAAGAGGATGACGAGGTGAGTTTGAATCAGAAAGAAGGATCATCTGCATCCAAGGTCTTTTCTCAAACTTCTGCTCCATGTGCCCTTTGCACTTTCTCCTCCCCTCCATCTCCACATGCTCTCCCACCCCTCCAGATTCTTGTTGTTGTTTGTCCTTTTGCTTCTTTTTGTATCCCCAGCATTTACACAATGTCTGGCACATCATAGATGCCACTAACAAGTGTTTATTGATTAAGAGGATTTGTGAGAACATATGTATATAGGGATTTTGAGATACAGAGTAGGGTTAGCAAACCCTTTGATCCAGCTATATCTCTATCAGGCCTAGACCCCAAAGAAATCAAAAGAAAGAGGAAAAGGATCCATATGGACATAAAGTATCATGAGTATCTCTTTTACATTAGCTTCTGGTCAGAAAGATGCTGTCCAATTGGGGAATGGCTAAACAAATGGTGGCATACGAATGTAATGCAACATTATCATGTCATAAAATATGATGAAATGGATAACTTCAGAGAAACTAGGAAGACATTTAAGAACTGATGAAGAGGGGGCAGCTAGGTAGTGTGGTGGATAGAGCACCGGCCCTGAAGTCAGGAGGACCTGAGTTCAAATCTGGCCTCAGACACATAACACTCACTAGCTGTGTGACCCTGGGCAAGTCACTTAGTTCCAATTGCCTAAAAAAAAAGAACTGATGAAGAGAAAAGTGAGCAGAAAAGGAGAACAGTTTAGGCAATGATGACAACATTATAGAGAAAAATAACTTTGAAAAACCTAGCTCCAATCAATGAAATGGTGGACGAGTCTGAAAGCCTGAAGATGAAATATACCACTCATCTCCTGCCAGAGATGTAATGAACTTAAAACAAGAAAAAAAAATAATTTTTGGACATAGCCCCTTTGAGATTTCACTTCCTGAACTATGTGGATATGCATTGAGGGATTTGTCTCAAAATACCAAAAAATGAAATCTATTTTCTGTACCCAGCTCATGAGCTCCATTTCTATCTCTCTGGACTCTCCTCTCACTGTTGTGGCCCTGGCATCTACAGACTCAGACTTAGCATACTTTATCATATTTATGTTATCATCATTTCTTTTATTTATGTTATCATAATTATGTGACTGAAGATAGCAAAATTAAAATAAAATTGGTCTAAAGCTCAGCCATCTCCAGACCTTTAGGGTTCTAGAAGTCCCTATGTCTTTAGGATTTACATATATGTGTGTGTATATACACACACACACACACACACACACACAATTTATTTTTTGTCTTCAAAATTCACTTCCACAAGATTTTGAGTTTTAAATTTTCTCCTTCTCCCTCTCCTCCCCCTCCCTAAGATGACATGCAATCTGATGTATGCTCTACTTATACATTCATATTAAACATATTTTCACATTAGTCATGATGTAAAGAAGAATTAGAACTAATGGGAGGAACCACAAGAAAGAAGAAACAAAGCAAAACGACAAAAGAAAAGGAGAGCAAATAGTATACTTCCATCTGCACTCAGACTTCATAGTTCTTTATCTGGATGTGGATAGCATTTTCCATCATGAGTCTTCTGAAGTTGTCTTAGATCCTTGCATTGCTGAGAAGAGATAAGTCTATCAATGTTAGTCATTGCATGTGGCTGTTACTGTGTACAATATTCTCCTGATTCTGCTCACTTCACTCAGCATCAGTCCATACAAGTCTTTCCAGGTTTTTCTGAAGTCTGCCTGCTCATCATTTCTTACAGCACAATAGTATTCCATTTCATTCATATACCACAACTTGCTCAGCTATTCCTTGACTGATGGACATCCCCTCAACATCCAATTCTTTGTACCACAAAAAGAGCTGCTATAAATATTTTTCTACATGTGGATCATTTTCTGATTTTTATGATCTCTTTGGAATACAGACCTAGAAGTGGTACTGCTGAGTCAAAGGGTATGCACATTTTTATAGCCCTGTGGGCATAGTTACAAATTGATTTTCAGAATGGTTGGATCAGTTTGCAACTCCACCAACAAAGCATTAGTGTTCCAATTTTCCCACATCTTCAATATTTATCATTTTCTTGCTTTGCTGTGTTAGCCAATCTGATAGGTGTGATGTGGTACCTCAGAGTTGTTTTGATTTGCATTTCTCTAATCAATAGTGATTTAGAGCATTTTTTTTCATATGACTATAGATAGCTTTAATTTCTTCCTCTGAAAACTGCCTGTTCATATCCTTTGACCATTTATCAATTGGGGAATGACTTGTATTATAAATTTGACTCAGTTCTGTATATACTTTAGAAATGAGGCCTTTATCAGAGACATTGACTGTAAAAATTGTTTCCCAGCTTTCTGCTTCCCTTCTAATCTTGGTTGCTTTGGCTTTGTTTGTGCGAGTCTTTTGGATTTCTTTTCCTCTGTTCAAGGGAAAGCTGAAAGGGTGGATGTGTATGGGAAAATGACTGTGATTTAAGAATAAAAGCCAACTAATGGTGAGAAATCATTTCTTTTTTATTTCAACTTGATAATCTCATAATCTGTGATAAGATGAAGCCTTTAAAACATTTCCATGTTAGCACCTTCTATGGATTATTGTGTGGAAAGATGAGACCAGACTCAAACTATCCCCCTTTCCAATGTGCCCTAGCTGAGCTGTAGATTATGCAGACATTGCCTTAGCCCATGGCGTTGAGAGAGACCTACACGCCAGGATGTTCTAGAACTAGTTCCAACCTGCCTGAGAAATCTGATTATTACATTTTCAGTGTAAGTATTTATACTTAGAAGTTGGCAAATACTACATCAGTTATTATTTTATTACTAATCTAGACTTAAGAAAATGATGGAAAATATTAACAATGCAGATTATATCTAAAAGTGCTCCAACTCCGATTCCTTTTTTGGGAGGGGGAAGAGCCATTTTGTAAACATTTACCAGCATACCACTGTGTATACTGGTCCCCAGTGTAGTCACAACTCTGTCAAAGTCTGGGAATGAGCTTGGAAAACCAGAGTGAGGACTCCAGAGAATAAGATGGTTGTCAGTTGTCCACGGACTGCTGCCTTATTACCAAAAGCTGGAGAGGAAAGAATATAGGAGCAAGTATGAGTTCAACTTGGAAGACTGCCCCCATTCTCCCCCCTCCCATCATTGCTGGAAGATTAAAAGTCAGGGTCTGCTTTTTTCTTCCTGTCCTTATCCCTGACCTCCTCTTATCAGAGGGTACCACAGATAGGGTTATACTGGAGGACATTCTGAACTGAGCACAGGTTCACAGGTCTATAGCCTCAGTGGAACCTCTTCTATTTTGGTGTGGATTGTATGCAATCTTTTTTTTTTTTGTCTTTGGTGAGGCTATCAGGGTTAAGGGACTTGCCCAGGGTCACATAGCTAGTAAATGTCAAGTGTCTGAGGCTGGATTTGAACTCAGATCCCCTTGACTCCAAGGCCAGAGCTTTATCTACTGCACCATCTAGCTGCTCTGATTATATGGAATCTTAGCAGCTTCCTGGGCAGAGAGCATGTCTCCAAGTCTGTTCAAATTGGACAGAGTGGGGTGGGGATAGGCGTTCCTGGGGGTAGTCGGACAGGATTCCTGCAGGCTCTATAGATGGAGACCCAGAGAGGGATGGAGAAGAGGAGAGAGATTTCTTACCAGGGCCCTGTAGTAAATTAATTGTGTTCTCTCTTTGAAACAGAAATCAATGCTTTCATTTCTTAGAGCTGGGCTTTAGACAGCCCTCAGCTCAGCTCAGCCCATCACTTGTAATTGGCTCCGTCACACCTTTAGGAAGGACCTGATCAAACAAGGTTTGCCTAGGCTCCTTCCTCTATGCTCTAAGTCCCAGTTCTCTAAGTATCTCAGTCCCATCCCAGGCCATTCTGCATTGCTCATTCAGCAGAACTGGGCGTGCATCTTCTATTCCTGAAAATTGCTCATGGTGCCGTGCTGCTTTGAGGCAGCTAGGTGGTGCAGGGGATAGAGCTCCAGCCTTGGAGTCAGGAGGATCTGAGTTCAAATGCAGCCTCAAATACTCAACACTAGCTGTGTGACCCTGAGCAAGTCACTTAACCCCAATTGCCTCACCAAAAAAAAAAATTGCTGGTGGCCTCTACCAACCCCCCTCTACCTCTTCGAAAGAGTCTCCAGAGAGGATCATGGCAGACATGAAGTGCATGAGAATACCAGAATCTAAGGTATAGATTTATTTTCAGAGCTGAAAGGGACCTCAGAAATGATCTAATTCAACTCTCTTGTTTTACAGATGAGGAAATAGAGGCCCAGGGAAATGAAGCAGTAGCTTGCCCAAAGCCACACATGTAGTTAGTAGCATAGCCAGGATCTGAACCCAGGTCCTTTGACTCCTAATGCAGTGCTCTCTCCCTTAGACCACACTGCCTCTAGGCCATCCAGGTCACATGGTTCACTATGTGTCACCTATCTTATCTATAGGACCACAGAAGCTTAGAGTTGGAAAGGACTGTAAGGGCTATTGAGTCCGTCCCCTACCTAAACATCAACAGCAACATCCTCTAAGAGTGGTCAGTTATCTTCCATTTGAGACCTGCAGTCATGGGAAACCAATTGGATCCTGAGGAAGTCTATTTGATTGGGGGATATAACTAAATGTGTTGTCTCCAGTCTTTGCCTTTCCAGGCTAGATCATGCCCATGCCTTCTAGACAGAGAGGGTCTGTGTTCTTCTAAAGCTATCACTAGGAATGGAGGCTGCTCAATCTCCCTTGTTATTTGTACTCAAGTCCAAAGGAACATCTTCCTGGAGCAGCATCACTGGCTGGGCTCCAGGAGTGACTGCTTCTGGGAACTGGCAGCAGAAGTTCCCAATTTCTCAGTACTCAGAGACTATGCCTGTTGGGACTCTCTCACCCTAATCCAGGGTGCTGCGGTACCACAAAAACACTGGATTTGGAGCCCAGAGGTCCTAGATTTCAATCCTGGCTCTTCTAATTACCACCTGTGTGTCCTTGGGTAAATATTTATTTTTCTCCAAGGGCATCAGTGGAAATGGAAGGGTTGGAAAGGACCCCAGTGACTCTCCAGTTCAAGCCATCAGTGGCTCTCTAGTTTAACCACTGGACACATAACTAGTAAGAGCAGAAATTGGAACCCAATTCTTTTTGATCCAAGAACAACATTGTAGTAAACGCCAGCTCGACTATTATGACCTCAAATTTGATCTCTCTAGAGCTCAATCCAAGCCCTGCCTTGTGCCAGACCCCAGCTCACCTTCTAAGTAGGCGCAGTTAAACTTGCTAAATGTTCTTGTGCTTTTTAGCTCAACATTTTGAAAGCCTTCAGATTCTGAGAACCTAGAGACATTGAACACCTCATATGGTGGGATCAGCACCTCCTTTTCATCTGGATAAGCTGACAAATGTTCAATGGGAGCCCCTTCACAGGTGTGCACCTTGTAAAGGGTCCCTGAGCCATTTGTGAATCTTCTGGCCACATATTGTTTCAGTGAGGTTGAAGCAAGTTGACCAAAGCGCATCTCCCCTGTCCCATCGGGGTACTGCTTCACGGAGATACCCCTGTAAACATCTTTACAGGATCTTTTCAGGATTTGAACAGCTCTGGTTAGATAGAAGTGGAGAGCTTTGAAGTGGAAGTTGTTCATATAAGCCTCCCAGGATGCACAGCATTTTCTCACTGCTTGATTAAAGGCTGGGTAGATCTTTTTTTTTTCCATTGTGTAGGCAATGACAGCAACTTCAAATGGCATTTTCATTCTTTTCTTTTCCGTAGACATATTTTCCCATTCAATTTCTGCATTTTCCCAAACTTCATTGAAATTGGAGTTCATTGCCCTTTCTTGAGCTAAGAGTTCTTTTGCCCTCATCTCCATGGTCTCTTCACAGCCCACATATTGGTCATCAAAAGCATTGTGTTCAAGGCTAATGACATTTTCTGGCATTTCAACATTTTCCTGAAAAGGAAAAAGGAACCTCAATTGCATTTAGAATATCATAACTCTCTACATATTTTTAGGATTTCAACAACAATGGCTGATGGAGAAAGTAATCAGAGACATGAACCACCTGGTGATGAAAGCGAAAGTAGACCTAGTTGGCCTCTTTTTTTTTTTTTTTTTTAGATTTGGTTTCCCTATCTTATCCAGTCTGGAAGTGCAGTGGGAGCTGTTTGGCATTGATGTTTTAGCAGCCTGGTGCTACCTGCTCCCCTGACACTCTTCTCCCCACTGTCTTTAACATGGGCTCATCATGTTGGTGCTAGACTTACTTTGGACACTTCGTTGGCTTTGTCCTACTGCAGCTCAGAACTCTGGCACTCAAGTGATCCACCAATCTCAGCCTCCCCAGTAGCAGGGATTATAGGCATCCACCATTATTTCTGGTTTCTCATAGTCTTTGGAAAAGCATTGGAAGAACATGAAGAGAGGCTGATGAAAGGGCTAGATCCACCAGAGAGAACTGCTCTGAAGCTGTCAGTAGACAAATGTCAAAAGTTTTTGTTAATCTTTTACAAAACTTTTGTTAAGCATGTGGGTCACCTGGTATCCCAACAAAATATGAGCCTTGACTAAGAGAATGTAGAAGAATTTCTGAATTGGCTGGGTCCATTCAGTCTTCGAGATTCAAAGACTTTATAGAGGATTTGGTGGTTGTTATTACATGTTTGTTAAGAACTATCTTGCTATTACTTAACAGTCATTAAGTAATGTGGTTAAGTGGTTAAGAATGACCACACCCATGCATACATCACTGAGGAGATTCAGAAATTAAAGGGTAAGGAATGAAAATTGTCTTAAAAACCAACTATCCAGGTAGCTTGTGTGTGTCTTGTGTTTTCTGATCTCCCAGCCTCCTGCACTCAGAAGAATGGGAGCACCTTGAGAATATCAGATATTTTCCATTTTATCTTTGCAACATACATTTCAGGCAAACTCGAGGGGTCGTCTGGTAGTGGGAGAAAGTGAATCCAGATGACTTGCATTCAGCTCCCAGATCTGCCTATGAGGCTATATGAAAGGCTTGGACTACATGGCCTCTCCTAGTCCTTTAAATCTATGATCTGGCTTTAAATCTATGATCTAATTATCTGGCTGACTTGCCCATCTCCCTTAACAACATTCCTTTCTGACCTTCATGTTTTTTAAAAAATTTTGTTAAGATGAGAAACCGGAAGGCCACAGGGTCCTCACCCCTGCCCAAAGATGTAGGCATTCATGTGGGAGATGCTAGGGACTCACTTCTGGGAGAAGACATCCTATAGTGGTCTGCACATGGCAGGGAGCAGCCACTTTCTATTGGCTGTGTAATCATAGCTGTCCGTCTTTAAATCCCCCTGAGGGAGGCACAGTCACACTTTCTTTCTGGTAGTGTCCTGGGGTGAAGGTATTGCTCATCTACAGCAGAGTCACTATGTAGTAATTAGGAAAGGGACTTGAGGGCACCTTCCTCTCTCTGTAGGTCTTGTGGCCCCATATTGGGCTTGGCATTTTTGTTTTGTTTTGTTTGCCGTTTTCAGTTGGAGGTAAAGGGAGTGCAGTTCTGGATGTGTGAGCTTAATTTATGGGGACATTGAATCCCAGAAATCCGATCTGGATGTTGCTACCAGGTCAAAAGGGAAGTCCTGAGAAGCCAGGGTCCTGGGATACAAGTTTGGGAGCTGGGTGAGACTTGGAAATTGGTGGGACTATTGCTACTCAGGAAATGAGTTAAGCTTTGTGCTCCTACTCCCTCTCCCCTCCCAAGACGGTGGTAGGATTATGTTTGTTGGACAGAATAACAAGTTGTACATGGTAGATTTGCAGTTTCATGTGCAATCAGTTGTTTTTTTTTTAATTATACTGTGTTTTGCAATTATTTGTTTTGTTCTGTGAATTGAAAATAAAATAAAATAAAACATTAAAAAAACAGATAACATGATCCACTGAGTCTTCAGCACAATCTCTTCATCCTGACTTTCTGTTTTTGCTGTTGGATTAGCATAAAGGAGAACTGGCCAATTAGGGTCCACTCTGTAGAGTATGTGCAATATCCTCTGACACCAACCCACATGGAGGCTTGGTGAGCCTCTTTCTGGGGATGCCTAATGGAGAGGCACAGGCAGGTGTGCTGGAGTCAGTTTAAACCACTAGGGAGATCCAATTGTTAAATTTTCAGTGTGAGCATTTGCACCTTGGAAATCAACAGATGCTACAAATAAAAGCCTGATTTATTGTTTTCCTGATTATCTAGATTTAAGAAAGTGATGGAGAAAATGTTCACAATGCAAATTAAGCTTAAATGTCAAATGTACATCCCCTCCCCCCAGTAAGCTGGTTATTAAACATTTACCAGCACTCTGCTGTCACAGGTGTTGTTTGACTCTCCTGTCAGCTTACTGGATGGTGATAGAAAGCCTTTTAATTGGCTAAGGGGCCAGAACTGAATGTGCACACAAAAGGCACAGGCAATCTTTCTTTTTTCGCTTGGCAGCTTTTAAGAGACCCTTCAGGTGGAGCGAGAGGTAGCAGAAATGGCAGGAGCTGACTGCTGCTCCCTCTGTCTCACTCTCCACCTGGGCTGCTGTGTGGCTGTGGCAACACTTTTCTTCCTCTGTCATGTTTGCTCACCCCTGATCTTAGGTAACTGAGCACTGGGGACAGGAACAGAAAAGGTCTTAATCTTGTAAGCTTTGAAACATCAGCAGGTTGGGGGAGTAGAGAATGTTCTTGAATTACTACTAGTAGTAGCAAGTTTGAACACACTCTCCCCATGGATTGGAATGATAAAGGAGAGTGTGACTCAGGATTTGGAATTCTTACACTGGGCTCTTGTTTACATTTTCCCAGTCAATGTCCCTCTGTAAAATCTAATTCATGTTCACTGATATTGAGAAAGCAAGTGACCAAATTGATGTTGGGAGATACTAAAAGGTGACTGAAATTAGGGAAAGATGCTGGATTCATGAGCTATAGGAATAGAAGCTCCAGAGGCCCCAGAACCCTTGAAGGAAGCACTTGTCAGTCATGCTCTGGGGATCTGACTAGCCAATGCTTATCAGGGGTTGGAAGAGTCAGCATCAAGCCTATCTGTGCCATGCTTTTGCTATGGGATTTGATGATCAAATGATAATCCAAAGCACAAACCCTGATGTTAGCAATATGGTAAAGGAAGAGATTCTTTGAATTTGAGAAACACTCACAGAGGGCATGACAAGCAATGAGACTAAAATATTAAACACTTTGGGGTGACTTTGTTACATCTCCCTGTGGACAGTTATAGTAGGGCCCTAGAGTTTGAGCTGGAGAGGGCTTTAGAGCCCAACCTCCTCATTTTACAGATGAAGAAACTGAGGCACTGAGAAGTTAAGTAACTTGCTTAGGATCACACAGCTAGTAATTGTCTGAGATGGTGTTTTAACTGAGATCTTCCTGACTACAAGTCCAGTGCTCTGCCTATTACACCACACTGCCACTCAAGTGAGAGAGGTAGCACTGCATAGTACATAGAGGACATTCCTAAAGTCAGGATAACCTGGTCTTGTCTCTGACACATTTGCTATACAGCCCTAAGCAAGTCACTTAACCTTTAACATTTTAGTAAATTCTCTATAAGTTGCAGAGAAGTCAAGTCAACAAAGCATTTAAGTGCCTACTATGTGCACTGAAAATACAAACAAAGGCAAAGAACCTAGCCCTTGTTCACCAGGAGCTTGCAGGGGGAGACAACATGCAAACAAGTATATACAAACAAGACAAATAGAGGATGCATTGTGAGAGAAATGATTATTTCTTATATTAATATCATTAATTGAGATTAAGTTTCTCCCTTTCTATTTCCTCATTCAGAAATACACCCCTGTAGGTTATTGAGCCAAGTCTCTGAAAGGACATTGCTGATAGATGAGATTGCCCAAACCTTTGGGGTATGTGCTTTTTGATCTTGAGTAGGACTGCACCCAACTAGGAGATCTTACAAAAAGAATCTAGTCTAAGCCAGATCTTGCCCATAGGAAATAAGCCTCCGTCTGTCCTTGGAGCCTTCCATTAGCATTTAGGGTGACCCAGCTTATGAAGGGGGAAACCAGCCAGTGAAGTGTGGGTAGAGAGGGATTCTTTTGCCCAGGTTGCTGGAGGTGGCTGAGTCTCATGATTAGGTCCTGTTCTCTGCAGGAGGAACTGCAGACTTTTTGCCCACCTGCTCATCAATATGTCCCTCCTTTTCCCCTCCCCTATTGATTACTAACCAGAGTTGATTTCCATCTTCAGGGACACACACTTTTCCAAAGGCGTTTCCAGGCAGGGTCTTTGTTTTATGAAAGCCAAATGACCATTTTATTAATTATCTACTAGTCATGATGAATAAAATTATTAATTACTCAGAAACTATGTCTCTTGAACTTCTCATATGTCACAATTCGAAATAATCAGTAGAGGGAAGGCACCAGCACTAAGGAGCAGCCAGGCGGTGCAGAGGTTAGAGCAGTGGCAGTAGAGTTGGGAAGATCTGAGCTCTAACCTGGGCTCAGACACTTACTGGCTTTGTGACCCTGGGCAAGTCAGAACCCCTATATACCTCAGTTCCTCATCTGTAAAATGGGAACCCATTGGAGAAGGAAGCGGTAACCATTCCAGTATCTTTGCCAAGAAAATAAGTCAGACATTTCTGAATAATCAAGCAAAAACCAGCATTAAGGGGATCTGGATGGGGTTCTCTTAGAAGGTGAATTTTAGCTTGGACTTAAAGGAAGCCAGGAGATGAAGATGAGGAAGGACAGCATTCCACACATGAGGGACAGCCAGTGAACATTTAGGGAGTTGGGAGAGGGAGAATTTTTGGACCAAGGACAGTAAGGAGGGCAGTGCCACTAGATCATGAGAGACACTAAGGTGTAAGAAGACAGCAAAAGTAAAAAGAAGGCTGCTTATGAAGAGCTTTAAAGACCTAGCGGGACTTTCTGTTGGATCCTGGGTAACAGGAAGCCACTGGAGTGGCTGGGGGTGGGCTTGGGGGGAGGGGTAGGAGAATATGATCAGACTTGCACTTTAGGAAGAATTGTTTGGTAGAAGAGGGGAGGATGGACTGGAGTGGGGAGAGACTTGAAGCAGGAAGGCCAACAAGAAGGTTCATGGAGTAGTCTAGGCTTGAGAACTAGGTTAGGAATTAAGAGGTTGTGGGTGGCAGCTAGGTGGCACAATGGATAGAGTGCCAGGCCTGGAGTCAGGAAGACCTGACTTCAAATCTGGCTTTAGATACTTGATACCTGTGTGACCATCGGCAAGTCATTTAACCTCTGCCTCAGTTTCCTCAAACAGGGAGAGGCTAGCAAAAAAGAGAGAGTGGGAGAGAGAGAGAGAGAGAGAGAGAGAGGGAGAGAGAGAGAGAGAGAGAGAGAGAGAGAGAGAGAGAGAGAGAGAGAGAGAGAGAGAGAGAGAGAGAGAGAGAGAGAGAGAGGAGAATCATTGAGACATCTTTATTTATTTTTTTTAAGTATAGAGAAGAGAATAGAAGGATGGCCAAAAAGAAGCACAGACAATAGGAAATTTTGAGAACTACGTGTTGAACTTATATACTTAAAAATAAAATCAAGATACACATAACAGAGACCTGCAGTTTCAAGCACAACCCATTTTCCCTTTTCTACTATGTATGTGCAAATGCTAATTCTGTTTGGTGTTTCTTAAGTTCAGACTAACAAAAAGATTAATGAATGGGTTGGACTCAATAACCTTTAAACCATGAGGCTTCAACACACTAAACTAAGATAATTTCATTTTTTGATGAGTTTATGTGACTGCAAAAGTGGAAAGGACATTGAAATTGGAGTGAGAGGCCTGACTTTGAACCTTGAATCCCACCTCTGCCACTTAATACCTGTGTGACTTTGAGCATGTCACTTAATGTTTCCAAGACTCTTTCCTCAGACTTAAAATGAAGGGATTCAGAGAGGCTGAACCCTCCACTCCCTTCCAGCTCTGAATATACAGACCCTCTGAACAGATAAAACCTCAGAGAAATTCTACATACATGGCAGATGTGTATTCCCATAAGGTAATTGACAAGGTCTCTTACAATATCCTTGAGGATAAGATGGAGTGATGAGGACTAGATAATGACATGGTCTATTGGATTTGGAATCAATTAATCATATGGATGCACCAGAGTTGACCAATGTCTGACTGTGTCACTCTCTCAGAAAACCCATGTGGGACCCAAACTGGGAAGGGCCTTAAATGCTGACTGTATTTTATCCTTGGAGCAATGGCATTCCAACAACACCTACACAGAGATTAGTTCATACCAAATATACACAGGCTAGATATAAAGTAATTTTGATAGAGAAAGAGCAGTAACAACCAAGGCATCAGGAATGGCCACGTATAGTCAGTGACACCTGACCTGTGCTTAGAAGGAAGTTAGGGATGCTTTGAGGCAGGTGAGGTGAGGTGAGAGAGCAGAAGGGGGAACAGAAGAATGTTCTAGACCCAGTATATTAGAGGGGGTCAAAGATATCCAGAATGTGTGTGTGTGTGTGTGTGTGTGTGTTTGTGTAAAACCATCATTTGAGCATGCCTAGTTTGTCTAAACTATAACCTGCTGCATTCCTACTATGTGAGTAGGATAAACTCCTTTGATGGGATACCTGCATCTTTAAAACTGGAAACAGAGTTGAGTCTCCTTCTGCCATCTTTTTGGCTGTGTGAATAGCTGCTTAGCCCAGTGTGGTCGCTGTGAACAGCATCAGTGATAAGGGGAAAATTCTCACCTTTCCCTAGTTCTCTGTCTTGTACCTGGCTTGGAGAAATGGGGGTGGGGTGGAGGGAAGTGGGAAGTTGTTCCTGCTTTGTGCTACTTGACCTCAGTTTCAGGTCCTTAACTCAGTGTCCCTAGAGCCTAGTCCCAGTCCCAAATTCAAACCCTGCCCTGGGGTCCAAATCCCAGGCACCCTGGCTTCTCAGGGCTTCCATGTCAACCTATCTGACTGCACCAGCCAGCCTCAATCCTGGCTGCCAAGTTGTCATGGTTTGATCTTCTGGTCCTGTGGGGATCACCTCTGACACCTGAAACTGAGTGTCTGTGGATAAGATGGCCACTTACTTCATATATAACCAGCCCAATGATCCCAATGATCATAACAACTATAACTGTGGTGATGATGATTTTCCATTTACAATTCATTTTAAGATCTTCTTGCCTCTTCTTATCCCTGTAATTGAAACACAAACAAATGAAAAGTCTATTATTTCTGCTTCTAAGATAAAATACAAACTCGTTTGAGGTTAAAAGCCTTCATAATCTAGCTGCAGTCTACCTTCCTGATTTCACATTACTTCCCCTTGTTTACTCTATGCTTCAGTCAAACTGACCAACTTGCCATTCCTTATTGTTAAGGGAAAGAGTATTAATACTGTACTCTGCCTTTTAGGAACAAGACACACTCTTACTGCCAGAAACAATTTTATTTAATTTAACGTTGTAAAATCCAAGTCATTTTTAGTTTAGAGATGTCCAAAATGGCATCATTCCCCCATGTCCCTGGATGTCTCTTCCTGAAGACAATTTGGGGTAACATTTATAGGTGTCTTGAATAAGGAAACATTTATATCATATGTTAAAATATACTTATGTGTTAACATTTTTCTTTTCTTTTTTTTTTTGCTTTCTTTTGGTGAGGCAATCGGGGTTAAGTGACTTGCCCTGGGTCATCTATCTTAAAAAAGACTCAATAAAGACCTGATTATTTCCTTATGTGTTAAACAGGGATGGCATAAACTTCTGCCCCATGGCAGCCCCTATCTGAGACAGTGACAAGCCTTTGTTAAAAAAAAAGGGCTCTACATTCCCCAAATGAGAAAGAGTCAAAGGATATGAACAGGCAGTTTTCAGACAAAGAATTCAAAGCTATCTATAGTCATATAAAAAATGCTCTAAGTCATTATTGATTAGAGAAATGCAAATTAAAACAACTCTGAAGTACCACCTCACACCTATCAGGAGTGAGAAATGCTAGAGGGGATAAGGGAAAATAGGCACACTAACAAATTTTTGGTGGAGTTGTGAACTGGTCCAACCATTCTGGAGAACAATTTGGAATTATGCCCAAAGGGCTACAAAATTGTGCATATCCTTTGCCCCATAATACCACTAATAGGACTATACCCCAAAGAGATCAAAGAAAAAGGAAATGGACCTATAAGTGCAAAAATATTTATGACAGCTCTTTTAGTGGTAGTAAATTGGAATTGGAAATTGAGGGGATGTTTATCAATCGGGAATGCCTGAACAAGTTGTGGCATACAATTGTGATGGAGTACTATTGTGCTACAAGAAATGACAAGGGGAATGGTTTGAGAAAAACATGGCAAGACTTATATGAACTAAGGCAAAATGAAGTGAAAACTGGGAGATCTTTGTGCACAGAAACAGCAATGTTGTAATGATGATCAATTGTGAAAGAATTAGCTATTTTGACTGATAAAATGGACCAAGATAAATTCCAAAGGACTCATGATGAAAAAATGCTATCAACCTCCAGAGAAAGAACTGATGAAGTGAATGCAAATAGAGGTATAATTTTCTTGCTTTTTTTGGTTATATGACTAATATGGAAATATGTTTTTCATGGTTTCTCATGTGTAAGTGATATTGTATTACTTGTCTTTTCAGTGGGAGGAGAGGTTTGGGAGGGAAGGAGAAAATTTAGAACTTAAAATTTAACAAGAAAAGAATCCTAATATATAAATAAATAATACATTTAAAAATGCTTAAGTAGAATCTAAGAGACAAATGACAATAAAATAAATCTCAGATACTTGAAAAAAATCACATTTCAGGTTTTCCACATAGAATGATTGCTTTCAAATTCAGAAAGGTCCTGGTTATTGATTAACAGTGACCTGGCTAGTTCAGTGCACTGTATGGTGATCCCTAGGGTAAAAGGGAAATCTTTTAAACTTTTAAAGAGAACTTCTCACACTTTTAAACTTTGGACTATTGATCCAAAATTGATTCAGAGATGTAACCCTGATACATACCAATTGAGTCACAATGTTTCTAGTGAGTTACCATAACAATCATGATCAGACTATTTACCATATAACTGATTTCTAGACCACATATGAAAACATTGAAACTACCTTCCCATTTGTCTGTGACTGCTTGTATGTTTGTGTTGGGGAAAAGAGAGTGTTAGTTTCTCTGCAAGCCAGTGTCTTAGTTATCTCTAGTCTCTGTGTTATATTCACATGTGGGGCTGTCCCCAGTCATCCTGGGCCCAAATGGCTCCAGAGGAGAAAGTGAAGCTGATGACTTTGCACAGCCCTCTCTCACTTAAATCCCTTGCAAGTCATGACATTGCCTTCCTGAGGACAAACAACAACAACAGAATTCACATGGCTCTCATTTACATAAACTGCTCTGTGGCATCTTCTTTCATGAGCTGCTAAGTTTTTATGATCTTACCATGATAGAAAATTCAGAGTACCTGCCAAGTTCTCACAGAACTTCTCACAGACAGTGAGACTTCTCAAGGTCCCTTGTACTTTCACCAAACACTAAGTTACTCTTGTCTCATTTGAATACTTCAGATAGTCTTTAACCAGAAGAGCCCTCTGCTTTCTAGACAAGTCTTTAATAAGTATTAGCTCAAAGTCCTAAAATCAGTACTAGATGCAAAGAGGAGGTAACTTCCTAGTGATACCATTGCATCTCACTCTCGGCATCGTCCCACAAATGAACAGCACTCGTGACGAGGATTTCCACAAATCACAATGCAAGAAACTCATAAATATTATATCGATGTGAAATAATATCATTGGAACAAAACTTTGTTTGCCAGTTAACATTAATCTAGTTAAATGCATCTCCAAATTAACTACATGAAAAAGCTGTTCCATTCATCTGCCAGTCTTGGTATTGTAGACTACTTGTGTTCTGAGAGCAGTATAGAGTAGTTATCATTTTAGGTCTCACAGCTACAGAGGTGTAGCATGAACAGTTACCACTGAGAGCATAGATGAACTATTCTGTGAATAATAATTTTCTCCAATTAATTTATCAAACCCAATATAAATCCAAATTAAAAGATTTAAAGCTTACTATAACATTCTAGCTCTTTGTCCACACATACAAGAATATCAAAATCTGTGAAATCAAGCTTGAGCAGGAGTGGGAAATCTGTGGCCTTCTAAGTCCTCATGTGTGGCCTTTTGACTGAATCCAAATTTTACAGAATAATTTTTAAATAAACAATTTTAAATAAAAGGATTTTTTTCTGTAAAATTTGGATTCAATCAAGAGGCTCCATATAAGGACCTAGAACACATGTGGCCTTAATGCCACAGGTTCCCCACCCTTGACTTGATAATCAGCTAGGTGGCCCAGTGGATAGACCACCAGGCCTGGATACTTGCTAATTGTGACTCTGGCTAGTCACTTAACCCTGTTTGCCTCAGTTCCTCACAAGTAAAATGAACTAGAGAAGGAAATGGCAAACCACTCCAGTATCTTTGCCAAGAAAACTCCAAAAGGGGTCATAATGGTCAAACATGACCGAACAAAATAATCATGAGAAAGCTCAAAACCAAGCCTCAGCTTCCTCGGGAAGAGATAAGCTATTTTCTGAGTGCAGTTAACATTTGTATGTGTCTGTCAAACGTCCTATTCTCTTGTGTCACTGATGAGCTCTCACTAAATCTAACATACATTTCTTGTGATACTTCCTAATTTAATCTCTCAAATTCAATAAGGGTTATTGCTCCCACAACACTATGGTTCTAAACTCTCTTTCCAAAGGGCACCACACATTTAGGTGAGAAAGAGCACAGGATTAATCTCTCTAACTCACAGATCTGTGGGAAAAAAAATTGAGCTCTTTGAGGGAAATTTCTTCAAGGAGTCTTCCTGGCCAACTTAAAGTTTAAAAATAACTATGGCTAATGGAGTCCTGGAAATTTTCCTTATTCTGTTCATCCTTAGAACAGTTTGGCTGCTCTGTTGCATTCCTGTGATTCAGTTCACCTTCAGGCTTAACCAGGGTCACTGTCCCCAGAGGCTGCACTACAATGACCGGTCTGAAGGACAAAGCTCAGCTGCCGCAAAGTCTTTCCATAGGCTTCTCCTTAAGTTCTAGAAGAACAATAATAGCTAACATGTAGAGAGTGCTTACTATGTGCCAAGCACTGTGTTAAGCACTTTATGATTATTATCTCATTTGATCTGAGGACATTCCCGGGAGGTAGGTCCTCTTATTATTCCCATTTTACAGATGAGGAAACTGAGGCAACCTCCCCACAGAGGTTAAGTGACTTGCCCAGGGTCACACAGCTAATAAATGTCTGAAGCATGATTTGAACTCAGGTTTTCCTGACTCCAGACCAAGAGTTCTGTCTGCTGTGCCATCTAGCTGCCTTAGAAAAGAAGCATTTGTGGAGTTAGTCTCCTCTTCTGATCTTTCAACTTTTTAACCACCACTTACTGGTCATGTGTTCATATAGTACTATCAGTCAAGGACTAAACATTAAGTAACTCTTATGTTCCCCAGAGTAAGATTAGTCAGTTGTGATCAAGATGCCAGGTTGTCTTAGCCTTGGGCCATGGTTTACAAGACCAAGAATTTCCTGATGAAGCCTCAAAAGTGATAGAAAGACATTTGACCATACGCCAACAAGAGTCAGCCTTTGCTTCAAACTGGCTTGTTGCAGACAAATTTTCTTTCTTCCTGTGTACCTGAAGTGAAGCAAATGGAAGACTTTAGAAACTGTTTCTGTCAAGGAACTCTGGTCCTGTGACCCACGAGTATCGACCCCCAAAGAGTTGATCAATGCTGTTTCCGCAGAACTTCAGGGCACCTGTACCTAAGAATTGTGAGATTTTTGGGCTGGTGGTGGGAAACCACCCTGGACCTGGGAACAATTGTTTGTCATCCACCTTCCCCTCTTCCTTCCCACTTGTGATTTATGTATATAATCTCTGTCTTTACTTTAGTAAGGTGGAATTCTGATCCGAAGAATTCCTCATTTGCAAATCTGTTCCTCATAATGAAACTAATTAATTAAATGGCTACCTGATTACTGACACTTTGTCTTTGGCCTGATGTGTGATCAGGACTGGCTCAGTAAAATCCTATTAACACTCTCTTCCCACTCTTTTTAGCTCTCTACAATCTGGCTTCCAGCCTCATTACTCAACTGAAAATGCTCTCTTTAAAGTTACCTATGGTCTCTTAATTGCCATATCCAACAGTCTTTTCTTAACCCTCATGGTCCTTAACCTCTCTTTGGCTTTTGACACTGCTGATCACTCTCTCCTCCTTGATACTCTCTTCTCCCTAGGTTTTTGGGACATCACTCTCTCCTGGTTCTCCTATCTGACCCCTCCTTTTGTTGGATCCCCCTTCATATCACCATGAACCACGGGTGTTCCACAGGGCTTTATCCTAGGCCTTCTTTTCTTCTCCCTCTGTATTACTTCACTTGATGATCTCATTAGTTTCCATAGATTTAACCCATCATCTCTATATTGATGGTTCTAAAATAACCTATCCTGTCCTAACCTATCTGCTGATTTCCAGTCTGGAATCCCCAACTGCCTATTACACATCTTGAATTGTATATACTACAAACATCTTAAACTGAACATGTTCAAAATGGAAATCATTATCTTTCCCCCAAACCCTCCCCTGCCTCCTACTTTTCCTATTATTGTTGAGGACAACCCTATCCTCCTAGTCTCCCAGGATCACAAGCTAGGTGTCATCTTTGACTCCCCATTACCTTCTCCTCCCCATTCAATCTGTTTCCAAGTCCTACTTTTTATTTCACCTTTGCAATACCTCTTGAATACATGCCCTTCTGTCCTTTGAAATTGCCACCACTCTAGTGCAGGCCTTCATCACCTCATGCCTAGACTATTGCTATATCATGCTGGTGGGTCTGTTTGCCTTAGGTCTCTCCACACTCCAATCCATCCTCCATTTAGCAACCACAGAGATTTTACTAAAGTGAAGGTCTAAACGTGTTACTCTTCTACTCAATAAACCCGACTGTCCTCCTATTGCCTCCAGGATCAAATACAAAGAACCTCTGTTTAATATTCAGAGCCCTTCATAACCTAGCCCCCTTCTACGTTTCTAGTCTTCTTATACCTTACTTCCCACCAAATACTCTTTAATTCAGTGACACTGGCCTCCCAGTTGTTCTATGGACAAAATATTCCATCTCTCAGCTCTAGGCATTTTTTTCTAGCTGTCTCTTAAGCCTGGAATGCTCTTCCTCCTTATCTCTGCCTATTTGCTTCCCAACTAAAATTCCACTTCTACAAGAAACCTTTTCCAGTTCTTAAATCTATCACCTTCCCTCTGTTGATTATTTTAGATTTATCCTGTAAATATCTTGTTTGCATGTAATTGTTTTCATGTTGTCTCCCCCATCAGATTGAGAGCTCCTTTAGGTCTAGGACTGTCTATTGCCTTTCTTTGTGTCCCCAGCATTAACACAGTACCTAGACACATAGTAGGTGCTTAATAAATGCTTATTGATTGACTGAATAAAAGCAAACAACAAGAGAGGATAACAAATAATTAATTTTAAGGTAAACTTCAAGGAAAAGCCTACAGAAAGACTGGAGTTAAAAAAGAGTAAACAAATGATAAGAGATAACCATACAATGAATACATTCTGAAGAATGAAAATTAGTTGAAATAAAAAAAAAATTAAAGCTCCAGATAAGAAAGGTAATTTTGTGACAACAAAAAGACCCTCAGAAATAATAATAGAGTAACTATAGGAAATTCCAGAGTGTTTGAGAAGATCAACAGATCATTAAAAAAAGGAATGCAGATCTACATTGGAGGTCTCAGAGGAGAATTTTTTAAAAAAAGAAAAATAATGATGACATTTAGAAAAAATAATGGAAAATCTCTCCAAAACTACAAATTTTCTGAAACATAGATCAGCAGGTTTGGAACTCAAACAATGCATAGATGAAAGAATTTCAGAACAAAAGCTAAAGACAAATGGGAAGAACTGAGATGTTTAGAAGCCAAGGCAACTGATCTTGAATATAGAATGTTTCAATACAATCTGAGAATGACTGATGCTCCAGAAATAAATGACGAAATTAAAAAATACATGAATACCCTCCTTCAAGAATTTATACAAGAAGATTACGCAGAAAAATTGGAAACAGAAGATAGTACACAATGCAACCCATAGATCACCAACAGAAAGAAACCAAATTTAGTACACCTAAAAATATTATTGTCAAAGCACTAGAACTTTAATATTGAACAACATTTCTTCATATATCCAGTAGGAATCCTTTTATAAGCCAGGGAAGAGTCCAAATCATTTAAGATCACAAGACATAGGATCATAATTGTTGAGATAGAAGTAACCTCAGAGGCCATCTAGTCAGTCCACTTCATTTTACAGATGAAGAAACTGAGGCCAATAGAGGTTAAATGACCTGCCCACAGTCACATAGGTAGCAAATGTCAGAGACTGGGTTATCCAGATCCTCTTACTCTAAAGCCAGTGCTTTTTCCACTGTACCTCAGTGAGAAAGGAAAGAATAAATTGGAACATATATAGTACTTCAAAACCCAAAGGAAATCACTGTGTGCTCAATAACAATCTATCCATAAATCTTGTCCCACTTCAAAGTATTCTCTACACAGCTGCCAAAATGATTTTTTAAAAATGCCTATTTAATTATGTCACTTTTCCTACTTTAGGTAGCTAGGTGGTACAGTGGATTTGAGAGCTGGACTTGTGTGACATATGAAAAATACAAGAGACATAATTTCTGGGTAATTAGTAATCAATTTTATTAATTATGGCTAGCAGATAATTAATAAAATGATGGTCATTTGGCTTTCTCTCATAAACCAAAGAGGAATCATGGAGGCCACTCAATGCTTATATGCCCTGGGAAGAGTGAGTATTCCTAACAGGTAGAAATCAACTCTGATTAACAATTATTAACAATTAACAATTAACATCATAATGAGAGGTGGATTTATTTTAATAAGGGGCTGGGGAAGTGACTTTGATTATGGCACTGGTGGACAAAGAAAGACTCATCTCAAGCCAGACCACTCCCACCTGGGGAAATCTATACAAAAGAATCTATCCTTCACCCAGTCAATGAAAGATAGTTTGAGTAGGGTGAATTCTTTGGGCAGGGTCAGACATACCTTTGAGATAGAAGTAACGTCAGAGGCCATCTAGTCTGAGAGGTTGAACTTTGAATGAGGAAATAGAAGGAAAAAAAATCTGGATTGCCCCCTTCCCCCATTGATTGGTTATTAATATAGGAGAGAAATAATCATTTCTTTCGCTTAAAATCAAGAAGACCTGAGATCAAATTCTGCCTCACATACTTATTAGATCTCTGATGTTGGGCAAGTCACTTAACCTTCATGGGCCTCAGTTTCCTCATCTATTAAATGGGGAAAATAATAACACCTACCCCTCAGAGATGTTGTGAGGATAAATTGAGATGTTTGTAAAGTGCTTTGCAAACCTTAAAGTGATATTAAAAATATTAATTATTCTCATTACTCAATAAACTCTAATGGCTCCATATTGCCTTCAGTATGAAATTTAAACACTTCTATTTGTTATTTAAAACTCTTCACATCTCAGTCCCAACTTACTCTTGAAAATTTGTTATGGATTCTTCCCCTTCATGCAGTCTACTGTCTGATAAAACTGACCTTTTTATTGCACTAATACTCTATTTCTTATCTCTGTGCCTTTGCACAAACTATTTCTTATCACATCTTTTGGGTGTGCCCAATATCTGGAATTTCCACACTCCCCTTCCCCTGCAATCTATTTGAATGCCTAGTTTCCTTTCAGATTCAATTCAAGGGTGCCCCAGCCCACAGGACTGTCCCTGTCCAAGAAGAGAGGATTAGCAGACTGCTGTAGCCTTGATGAGGATGCTGCCCCTGGGGAAGGGCACTGGATGTGGTCTTCATGCTTGCAGGGAGTTGGACCTCCTGGGGGAGTGCTTGGGCCCTCGACATCTAGGTGTGGAGCTTGTGCAGGGAAAACCATGGAGGTATTTTTGAGAACCTGATCAATAGACTCTATATCAGAATTGTTTGTTGGATCAATGGATGTATTTAAATATTCATTTTAAGAGGGGGCAGTGAAAGGGGTCTTCATCATGGAGGAATGGGAGCAAATAAGTAAGATTGAAATGAATGAAATTGAGGTGGCTACCTTTGTGCTCAAGCTCAGGAGCCTTGTGAACCAGAATGCCATGTTTGTTGTGCCTAGCAGTACATCCTGGTGGGGAGCTTAAACTAGCCTGGGCCTATGACCTGAGGGTGGCAATTTTCTCTGCTGTCATGGGACTTTAGAGACAACCTGGAGATTCCACTCATGTACAAGGGAAACTGGTGCCTGAGTCTCTGTGTGGGCATGAGCCTGGCCAACGAGCTTATTTTTACCCTGGTAGCACATGGATAGGGAGGTGGCAAAGGCCATCAGGCTAATGAATCAGGCTGTGCTCCAGAACCAGGAGGGCACCTCTCCTTACCACACACAGGGCCTGGAGCTGGGCAGAGAAATCTGCCACAGTCACTCATCTCAGTGAGAATGGAAAAAGTGGCCATTTCCATTGACAGAGGGATGAAGGTAGACATCATATTCAGAATGGCCACTGAAAAGGTGTGCTATGAGATGACCAGAATGTCCTACTCTGGCATAGATTCGAAGGCCTACTAACCTTCCTAGAGAAGCATGGCTCTACTTTGCTAATAAGTGACTCTTGCATAGCCTATGGGATGGGACCTGAGACCCTGGCTGGCTGAGGCAGCATCAAGGGAAAAAGCCACCTCCTACAACTCCTTTGCTTCTACCTAAGATTCTTCACCTTGGTCATTAAAACAATGGACTCAGCTAAAGTATTACCTTCTAAATGAAATGGTTTCTGCTCTCCCTCTCAGTTGCAGATGCTTTTCTCTCCAAATATCCTGCACCAATTTACTATCTACATAAATATAAGTATGTAAGCACACACACACACACACACAAACTTATTTCTCTTGGAATAGAATGTAAGTTTCTTGAGGTCATCACTTTAGTTTTGTATTCCTAGTGCCTATCACACAGTAGGCACTTAATTAATGCTTGCTGATTAAATGATTGTTTAAATAATCCAGCACAATTCAACTTGACCATCAATGAAAAAGATGGGCTTTCAGCAAAAGGGAGTAAAGTTTCTTTTGAAGAAAACAAAGATGAGTAGGATATTTAATGTTCAATTTCATAGTCAATAAATTAATTTTTTTTTGCTGTGGAGGATTTTATTTGTAATAGAATCCTATGCATTACAAATGCTACAATGTAGAAAAGGAACTAGGGTAGGGTTTTTAATGGATTTTCAAGAATAAGCTAATAATCAGTTTCAGAAACAATTATAGATTTGAATATGATATAAACTATTAAATTCTCTTAAATTAAACCAAATAAGAAATATTTAATTATTCTGGGTATTATAAGAATATGATTGAAAATTCCTGATGTAATGATAAAAACCATGAACTAGGGAATTTAATGGTTTTGAAAATGAGGCTAGACTACATATGTAATACAAAATATTTCACTTTTTAGTTAATTTTTTCTCTCTTATCATGAAGTACCATTTTTGAAATACATAATCCCTCCTTTTCTGAATTATAGCTATATTAAACTGTGGATATCAATTTTAGTATTTTGTGATATTTCAAATGTAGCCATGAGTTAAAAAGTTAACCTACTAGGACAGACCAGAAATAGTTTCTGTTGCCATCTTGATCTACAAGATTATAAGATCTTATATAATTGGTATTTTCTTGTCACTATCTAGCATTAAAAATTCCTATACACGATAAGCAAACACTAGTAAAAACTTCAGTACTGTGTATATGAAACTGAGTTTGTCTTCAGGAATTATTAAAACAGTTATAACAACTGCTTTCAATCAAGATCAAGGGTGAAATGTTTAGGTTTGCTGATAAATTCTTTTTTCTTGGTAATTTGGGGAGTGAGTCAAAAGAATTGAGTCACTAGTATTTAAATTTGTTGTTGTTGAGTCATTTCAATTGAGAAAAATGATTATTAACTAACCAATTATTGGAGAGAACCAGAGTTATTTCCTTTTTAAAGGAAATTCTGTCCTTGCCCCCAAATTTACCCCACTCAGACCATCTTATCCAAGTGGAATTGTTGCCCTACCCAATTAGAGAACCTTATAAAGAATTTAATCTAAGGTGAATTCAGGCCATTATGTTCTACTCAGGCTTAGGTAGAGGGTGGATCCTTTGTCTAGATAGCCCAAGGCTGAAGGTGGTAGTCTTCAAGTAAATCACATAATCTAAGTCATATCCCACCCTCACTAGAATAGACCCACCTCTAATTATAATATTCATTCTCTCATTACTTGTTAAATAGTCCTAGTTGATTGCTACACCCACCCTTCCAAGGGCATGTAAGTATTGAGTGGGTTCTGGCATTTGAGAGTGGCACTGACTCATTTTATTAATTATCTGCTAGCATGATTAATAAAATGATGAATTACCTAGAAACTATGTCTCTTGTACTTTTTACATACCACATAATTGTGTCAGATCCTTTGTGACCCCATTTGGGATTTTTTTGGTAAAGATACCTAAGCGGTTTCCCTTTTCCTTCTCCAGCTCATTTAATTCTCTGCTATTTGAAAAACAGGAAGCTGAAACTCAACTTTATGTTCTTGACTCCACCCCTAGGAACAACATTCCCAGACTAAAGCTTTCATTTGTCTTCATAATCCTAAAGGTTAAAGTAATATTTATTTTTAACTAAGTAAAAGCCTCATCAAAGGGTATTACCCTTGTTATGTGCAAACCTTGTGCCTTAATAGCAGCAATATTCTCTACAAAGCCACTATATACCAAGAAGGTGTGATTTGACCATTAATAAAACTGAATGCACAAACCATTAAGGCATGTTATGCCAGGCTCTTAACTTGTATTAAGTCCCAGAAAGATCATTTTGATTTCTTTTATTTGGGTTGAATTTTAGGTTTTTCTCTTTTGGGGTTCGATAAATTTTGCCATGATCTTATTTTAATACATTTAAGTAATGCTTTTACTAATGTAGTAAGTGAAAAGTAAATTGAAAAGGAAGCTTTCTTGGCTAGATGAGTAAGTATAGTACTTTGGATTGTTCATAAAGTATATTGTATCCCTAAGTTTTCAGAGCAAAGTTATCTAATATGGAGTTACTTATTGACAACTTGGCAAAAATTCTTAGAAATTAGCTACTGAAAAAGCTATACCTAATAATTTTCCATAATGGTCTTAAAAGAAAGATACTACTGGGGGCAGCCAGGTGGTGCAGTGCATAGAGTACTGCCCCTGCATTCAGGAGGACCTGAGTTCAAATCCAACCTCAGACACATAACACTTACTAGCTGTGTGACCCTGGGCAAGTCACTTAACCCCATTGCCTAAAACCAAACAACAAGAACAAAAAAGATACTACTTAATTTATAAGGGCTTTACAGGTCAAATCGGATTTTATATTTGATTGTAGTGGTGATTGGAAGTCCCTGGAGTTTGTTGAGAGGGAGTGGGGTGACATGGTCAGGCTTATGATATAGGATTTCACTTTGAAAAGTGAAATTTAAGAAAGTAAACAGGTTAAATACCAATAAAAAACTAAGTAGTCAAATCATTGTTTGCATGCTTCTAGGTCTAGACAAGATAATTATCAAGAACTCTCACTTAATCTGATGACTATTTAGAGAACAAGTAGAGAACATTTAAGGACAACTTTTCACAAGGATGATCAAACAAACGTAACTTAGAAGAGGGAAAGAGAAGAGCCGGAGGGCAACTGAATTTATATTTCTTAAAATAGAATATTACAGCTGAAGCTCATCCAAGCTATGGAGTAGGGAGATGGGTTTCTCCCTTAGAATGAAAGCTCCTTGAGGGCAGGGGCTGCCTTTCTTTTTTACTTGTATTTCTATCCCCAGCACTTAGCACAGAGTCCGACATACAGTAAGTGGTTAACAAATGCTTGTTGTCTGCCTCTCTGGAGGAGGAAGTATTATTCAAAAACACATGATAACTGGAATGGGCAAAATTAATGAACAAGCACTTCTTCTTTAAAAACTTCACTTTATCTGAGACTCACGAAAAACACGAGAGGTCATTCAAGGAGAGGCCACTGAAATGGTGATAGTATTACTGTAGAGAAGAATTTCTTAACCTGGGGTCCTGACCTTGTTTTAAAAGTTTTTTTATGATTTATTTCAATATAATTGGTTTCCTTTGTAATCATGTGTTTTATTTTATCCACTTAAAAACATTTTTTCTGGGATCCATTTCACAAGAGTGGTTGAGTCCTTTTTTTGTTAATTGAATTGAGGAATGTGTAGATTTCGATGGATTCCCTAGATAGAAAGTAAAGTAATGTTCTCTGTATTTTCTTTGGTCCTAAATACTTTCCTTCTCCATAGATCTGACAGATAAACTATCCCATGCTTTCCTAATTTGCTTGTGGTATCACCCTTTATGTGTAAATCATGTGCCCATTTTGACTTTATCTTGGTATATGGTTGCTCTATACCTAGTTTCTGCCATATTGTTTTCCTGTTTTCCCAGCAGTTTTTGTCAGATAATGAGTTTTTGTTTCAAAAGCTTGGATCTTCAGGTTTATCATGGTAATTTATTATAATGTAATTTATTAATTTTTAATTTGAAAATTCTATTTTTAAAATTAATAATTAATTTAAAATTAATTTATTCTCCTGATACACTACTCTATTTCTTAGCCAGTACCATATTGTTTTGATAATTATTGCTTTAAAATACAGTTTGAGATCTGGTATGCCTAGGTCACCTTCCCTCATATTTTCTTTTCATTGATTCCCTTGATATCCCTGACCTTTTGTTCTTCCAGATTTATTTTGTTATTATTTTTTCTAGCTCTACAAAACAATTAAATTTTTTTTTTTTAGGCAATTGGGGTTAAGTGACTTGCCCAGGGTCACACAGCTAGTAAGTGTCAAGTGTTTGGTCTGAGGCCAGACCTGAAGTTCAGGGCTGGTGTTCTATCCACTGCGCCACCTAGCTGCCCCCTATAAAATAATTTTTGATAGCTTAATGGTAAATGTCTAGAATGGTAAGTGTCTGGAACAGCCATCTCACTTCTTAGATGAGGACTTTGGGAACGGTGGTAGAGTACAAGGTGGGTAACTTAGCCCGAATTCTGAAACTCTAAATGCAATATCCTTTCTACTATAACCCATTATTTATCCATCAGTTAACATTATTGAAATTAGTCTTATATGTGAAGTTCTTTTAAATGAGAAGAAAAGGAAGGATTGACACTGGAAGAGATCTGGAGACATATCCCTGTCTCACCTGGACAAGGGTGGAGAGAGGGAATTTTTTCTGATCTTGTTTGATGGTCAATCAGATTTTGTACTTGTGGAAGAGACATTTTGAGGTATTTCCATCATTGTTCCTCTTAGGGGAAACTCTTCTCTGAAGATAGTAATATATTGAAAATAATCAATTTGCCAAACTTAGATTTATATCAGCAATGTAAGGATAGTTTAACTTTAAGAAAGCAAGATAATGAATCACATAAATCAACAAAACAACAAAAACATATATTGATAGATGCAGAAAGGGTCTTTCACATAATACAATATTCATATGTGTTATAAACTCTGAAAGTGTAGACCCAGAGAGAGGGACTATTTGGCAAAAACTGATAAGAAAACAGTCTGGTAGAAATTAGGTTTACACCAACACATTTAACCATACACCAAGAAAAGTTTCAAATGGATACATAACATAGGTATTAAGGTAAAATCATAAACAAATTAGAGAAACAAGGAAGAAATTGCCTTTCAGATCTATAGACAGAATAAGAGTTGATAACTGAACAATCAATAAAGAGGATCAAAGAAGATTAGATAGATAATTTTGAATACATAAATTTTTTAATTTATGCACAAACCAATCCAATATAGGCGTGATTAGAAGGGAAGCAGGTAAGTGAGTGAAAAAAATCTAAGTAGCAAATTTCTCTTATAAAGGTCTCATATCCAAGATCTAAAAGGAATTGTTTCAAAGCATCAAACAAGAATGACTTCAAAAGACTGATAAAATACGTCTTTCACCTCTTGGCTGAAATGTATTGGACTTGAGATGCAGAATAAGATCTACATTCTCAGACATGGCCAATTTTAGTTTGTTTTGCTGGACTATAAACACTTGTTGCAACAGATGATTTCTACTTGGGTGGGGTGTGGTGGGGTTAGTGGGATAGTGAGTTAGTGGGTAGGAATAAATATCAAAAGAAGCATCAGTAAAATTTTTTTAAAAAATGTGCAGAAAACAACAAAAAAAGGAGACAAAAAACAGAACAGCTAAGTTACTACCTTGTTCTTTTATTTAATGCATATATATACACACATATATTTATGTATTTGTAAAAGCAAATTGTATATAAAAGAAGTTTATAGTTTCTTGTAGAAGACCCTTTGTCTTTTTTACATTGTAATGTTTTATTTGTTAATTATTAAGTCCAGAATAAAAAAGGAAATTAAATAAAGTAACAGGAATAAAGGGAGCCTGTTGTATTACAAAGCAGTAGTTATTAAAAGCACCAGTTTAAAAAGATGGAAAAGTTGATTGGTGAGTTAGTCAAAGTGAGCAAAACCTACAAGAAAAGGAATATAGCTCTCTCCCTTTTTTGAGAAAAAAGAAGAGAGACTCCTCAGTGACGGACTCTTTTTTTTTTGGACAAAAAAAAAGCTTGGAAACATAGAAGGCAGTTTTGTGGGAATCAAGGATCAATATCTTATAACATCTACCACAATAAATTTAAAATGTATTAGCAATCTAAGTATGGAGTGAACCAAAAGACTTTTGGGAAACCCTGTATAAAAGGTCATGCTATTAAGAAAATTAAGGGAAAATGGAGCATCATTTTTTTTCACAACAGATTTCAGGTAAAAAGCAATGAGTAGTGTTGCCTCTACACTTTTGAGGCTAAAACGTACTTCTTAATCTCTATTAAGCAAAAAAAACTAAGCACATGTCACTTATGCTACCAATGGAAAAGACTATTTATATTCTATGGTTTTGCTTACCTGTTTTCTATGGAAAGGTCCTCTAGGGCTCTTGTATTTTGGGAAGTGATTGAGGTATCACAAAGAAATGAATCAGTTTTTAAAATGGAGTAAGAGGAGCTGCCCTGTATCCCACTCTGAGTGAGGAGAAAGGCAGGCTTGGCTTCCTTTAAACGCAAACTAAGCATCTACTTTTAGTTTCAGAATTAATGTGGGTGAGGTTAGGAGAGCTTTAAGAAATAAAAGAACTATTTGGGGTTTCAGGATGAATAGAAAGAAGGAAAAGGTTCCCTTTTTATTTCACTTCCTTGTCCCTAGTTCAGATCTGTCTTCCACATTTAATAGATTTTGACCATCTACCTGTGCAGAAAATTCTCCACCTTCTGTCCTGGACTCACACATTATCCTTGGACATTTGAGATCATTTAACATGGAAATATGAGTCCTCCCCAGACTATGATCTCTTCTCTAGTTCTCCCCTACTCTTAATAACATTATTGTTATTCTGACTTCCAGGCACAGTTTCCTTGGAGCCATCCTCCTGCTAGGAAGCCAAACCTTGACATACTCTTGAATTCTTCATTCCCCTTTGTCACTGCCTATTTAAGCAGTCATCAGATCCTAGGTGACTTGGAGAATAGAAACAGAGAAAATAGGAAAACCATCTTTCTGGGGAAAGATGATGAGTTCTGATTGCTGGAAGATGATTTGATTGTTGGAAATGTTGAGCATAATGTGACAATCAGAATGGATAAACGAAAGAATAAGCACTCAAGTGCATAGCATATACTGTTACATTTGATAATTAAGATAGACTGAAGCAGAAAGTTTTGAGCACATATAATTTGTTGGCAAGGCTAGCAATGACCAATAAAGGGGTCTCTTCTCAGTCAGTCAAAAGACCATGAAATAGGGCTTATTAGCCTTTCTATAGTCTTGGGAAGTACAAGAGAAAAAATAATAGGAAGCATAAAACAGTATGACTGGTTACAAGTGTCATAGATGATGGAAAACAATATCATTGGATGGAAGTCAAGAAGGCAGGACTAGAAACAGCTCCTTTTTCCATCTTGTTGCTATGGAAAGCTCATTGGTGGTGCATTTAGTCACAAAGATAACAGTCCAGACTTTCTTAAAGGACAGCCAGCATTGCAGAGCTAACAGACTTCTTGTTGCTCACATGCATCTACTCACATGCTTCTTGTAAGATTTGTTAGTGAGATAACAGATCTGCTTAAAGGTACGTGGGCAGTAAGATGTGTAGAGATAATATGGTTCTTTGACTTAAGGTGATTTCTGAAACAACTTAGCTCAGAGAGGAAAGTTCAAAGACAAAGAAACATGGTATAGGCAATCAATTGTAAAATGGAACCAGAATCAACTGGATTTTCTCAATACAAAGCACTGTGCTAAATATTAGAGATTCAAACAGAAAAGTAAGAGACTTCTTGCTCTCAAAGAGCTTACATACTAACAATAATAGATCTAGTTGGTTGGAGGAGACATACTGCTGAGTTCAAGAAAGAATTAATAGTCCAGTTTGGCTGGAATATAGACTTCATGATTGGGATCACAGGATCTTCAACTGTGGGGGACCTTAGAGCTCATCTAGTCCAATTTCCTTGTTTTATAGATAACTTAACTGAGGTTAAGTGACTTCTCCATGGTTTACACAATGGCACAACTGGATTTGAAGCCATGTCTTCAGATTCCAAACTCAGCACTCTTTCCAGTATACCATACTTGGGCATAGAGACGGGACCTGATTTTGCTGCTCTAGGGAACTCCTGAATGAAGGAGTTCCCACCACCAATTCAGGTCAATATCTTCTCTGCCACTTAATCTTGGAATTGCTTAGAGCATTGGATGAGTGCATTTGCCCAAGTTCACACAGCCAGTATGTTTCAGAGATAGGACTGTGTCCCAAGTCTTCCTGGCTGCAAGGCTGCCTCTATACTGACCTCATTGTGCTGTTTCTCATTACCATGCTCAGAGTAGTATGAAATGAGGCTGGAAAGGTAGAGTAGGATGTGGAGGGCTTTAGATGCCTTCCTGAGGAGTTTATGTTTTAGCCTAGAAGTAATGGGGGACCAATGAAGATTATTTTTAGCTTTTATTTATATTTTTATTTTTCCCTAGTTACATGTAAAAATAATTTTAACACTCATTTTAAAACTTTTGAGTTCCAAATTCTCTCCCTTCCTCCCTTCCCACTCCACCCCGCCCCCTCAATTGAGAAGTAATTCAGTATAGGTTATATGCATGTGTAGTCATGCAAAATATATCCATAATAGTCCTGTTGTGAAAGCTCCCATTTCTATCACCTTACTCCTTCTATCACCCCCCCCCCGGCCCCCCAACCCTTTCCCCTCCTACTTTCCTGTGAGGTAAGATAAATTTCTCTACCCAATTGAGCCTGTATGTTATTCCCTCTTTGAGCCAATTCTGATAAGAGTAAGGTTCACTCACTTCCTCTCATCTCCCCTTTCTTCTCCTCCACTGTAAATGCTTTTTCTTGCCTATTTTATGTGAGATAATTTATCTCATTCTACCTTTCCCTTTCTCTTTCTCCCAGTACATTACTCTCTCATTCCCTAATTTATTTTTTTAGATATTCCTTCATATTCAGCTCACACATGTGACCTCTGTCTATATATACTAACTACCCTAATAATAAGAAAGATCTCATGAATTACAAATATCATCTTTCCATGTAGGAATATAAACAGTTTAACCTTATTAAGCCCCTTATGATTTCCCTTTCCTGTTTACCTCTTTATGCTTCTCTTGAGTCCTGTATTTGAAAGGCAAATTTTCTATTCACTTCTGGTTTTTTCATCAAGAATCCTTGAAAATCCTCTATCTCACTGAATATCCATTTTTTCCCTCTGAAAACTCACTTTTTCTGAGTAGGTGATTCTTGGTTGTAATCCTAGTTCCTTTGCCTTTTGGAATATCATATTCCAAGCTCTTAGATCCTTTAATGTAGAAGCTGCTAAATCTTGTGTTATCTTGACTGCGGCTCCATGATACTTGAATTGTTTCTTTCTGGCTACTTGCAATATTTTCTCCTTGACCTTGGAACTCTGGAATTTGGCTATAATATTCCTGGCAGTTTGCATTTTGGGATCTCTTTCGGGAGGTGATTGGTGGATTCTTTCAATCTCTATTTTACCCTCTGGTTCTAAAATATTGGGGCAGTTTTCCTTGATAATTTCTTGAAGATGATGTATAGATTCTTTTTCTGATTATGGCTTTCAGGAAGTCCAATGATTTAAAAGTTATCTTTCCTTGATTTATTTTCCAGGTCAGTTGTTTTTCCAATAAGATATTTCACAGTGACTTTTTTCCATCCTTTTGGTTTTGTTTTATTGTTTCTTGATTTCTCATAGTCATTAGCTTCCATTTCCTCCAATTTAATTTTTAAGGAATTATTTTTTTCAGTGAACTTTTGGATCTCTTTTTCCATCTGGCCAATACTGCTTTTCAAGACATTCTTCTCCTCATTGCCTTTTTGGACCTCTTTTACCATTTGTCCTAGACTGTTTTTTAAGGTATTTTCTTCATTATTTTTTGGTGTTTTCTTTGCCAAGCTGTTGTCTCTTTTTTCATGATTTTCTTGCATCACTTTCATTTCTCTTCCCAATTTTTCCTTTACCTATTTGATTTTCAAAATCCTTTTTGAGCTCTTACAAGGCCTGAGACCAATTCATATTTTTCTTGGAGGCTTTAGATATAAGAGTTTTAACTTCATTGTCTTCTGAGCGTGTGTTTTGATCTTCCTTGTTACCATAGTAACTTTCAATAGAGTTTTCCCCCATGGTTTGCTTATTTTCCCAACCTGCTAGTTGATTTTTAACTCTTTGTTAAAGTAGGGTTCTGCTTCCAGGGTGGAGGGCACACTGTCCCAAGCTTTAGGGGTTTTGTGCCACTGTTTTCAGAGATACTTCTAGGGACCTGTAAGTTTTTGGTTCTTCCAAGGCGATCTGATATAAGGAGAGGTGTTTACTAATCTCCTGGCCTGTGCCATGGTCTATGAGCAACCACAAGCACTCTTTTCTGCCTTGGAATTGTGAGGAAGGTCCTCCCTCCACTGTGGTCCTCAAGCTGTGCTGTGCTAGTGTTCCTTCTCACCCTGGGGCTGCCACTCAGTACTGCGACCTGGATCCGAGTATGGCAAAGCAACAGAGTCCTGCCTCAGTGCTAGCAAAAGATCCCTGTAATTTCCTTCTGACCAGTTTTTTACCCTCTTACTGTCTGTGGGCTGAGAGCTCGAGAAGCAGCCACTGCTGCTGCTGCTCATTCAGTTACTCCCAAGGCTCCTGGTTTGCTGGGGTTGGGTCTATGCTGGTGTGGCCTGCACTGCACTCCACTCTCACCCAGGTGCTATAGACCTTTCCTGCTGATCTTCCAAATTATCTTGGGCTGGAAATTTGTTTCACTCTGTCTTTTTGTGGGTTCTGCTGCTCTAGTATTTGTTCAGAGTCATTTTTTTCAAATGTGTTTGGAAGTGTTTGGGGGAGAACTCAGGTGAGTCCGTGCCTTTACTCTGCCATCTTGGCTCGCCTCTCACCAATGAAGATTTTTGAGAAGGGAAGTAAGATGTACATACCTCTGCCTTAGGAAGATTATTTTGGCAGTTGTGGTGAATGATGGATTGGAGAAGGGAGAATGCTTTAATTAAATTTTATTTTTTTTCATGAACAAAAATCCCTTTTTCCTCCCTCTCCCCCTCCTCCCATCTCATCGAAAACAGACAAAAACAAATCTTGTAACAAATATGAAAAATAAAGCAAAGTAAATCCCCTCATTGACCAAATCCCAAAATAGATGGCTCATTCTATACCATGATTCTATCATCTTTTTGTCAGAGGTGGGCAACATACTTCATCATAAGACCTCTGGAATTATCAATCAGTTAATAAATGTATATTAAAAGCCTACTTGGCACAGCTAGGTGGCACAGTGGATAGGGTGCCAGGCCTGGAGTCAGGAAGACTCATCTTTCTGAGTTCAAATCTGGCCTCAGACACTTACTAGCTGTATGACCCTGAGTAAGTCATAGCCCTGTTTGTCTCAGTTTCCTCATCTGTAAAATGATCTGGAAAAGGAAATGGTAAGGCACTCAAGTAACTTTGCCAAGAAAACCCCAAATAGGGTCATGAGGAGTTGGACACAACTGAAATGACTGAACAACAACAACAACCACAAAGAGTGTGCTATGTGCCAGACACTGTGCTGAGTGCTGGACAGTCTCTTATCTCAAGGAGCTCACAGTCGAATGGGGGAGAGTCATTATAGCTGGTCATTGCATAGATCAGAATTCTTAAGTCACTCAAAATTATTTTTCTTGGTAGTGTTATTATTATATGAACTGTTTGGCCTTCTTCACTTCTCTCTACATTAGTTTATATAAGTGGGAAGAGAGAATTTTGAGGTAAGGAGAAGAATCAGGAGGCTATTACAGCAGTCTGGGAAGCAAGCTGAGATCTTAATGAGGATAGTGGCATTCTAACTTACAGGAATGTACCAAAGCATCATGTAGATTATAAAAACAGCAACTAAAGGAAGACGAGAAAGTTGAAATTACATTTGATGCTAGAGCTGGAGTTTTGGACCTTTTTTTGTGTCATGGTGACACATAACAGTCAGTTAAATCCTTCTCAAAATAAGGGCTCAATTCAGATTCCACTAGCGGCAGTGATGGCTTACTCAGCTCCCTTGGTCTTTGAATTCTGTTACATTTTACTCTTAATTTCCTCTTAGTCAATTCCACTCAATACATACTAAGTGAATGAGTTCTTTAGGGCTATTCTGAGAAGGAAAAACAACATCAACAGACTTACTTAAGTGGGACTGGGTAACAGTCACATAGCTTGTAGTTACAACAGACTTAAGTGGGACTGGGTAACAGTCACATAGCTTGTAGTTACAACAGACTTAAGTGGGACTGGGTAACAGTCACATAGCTTGTAGTTACAATTTTGAGGGAATTAGTTCATACCTCTAGGTTTGAATTCCAATCCAAAGGAAGGGCACAGTGATGCACGTGTAGTTAGTTCAGTGCTTAGATCAGTGTTTGGCACATATAGCATGGTCTTAATAAATGTTTATTGATTGGTTGATTGATTGATCAATGCATGGTTGTTCCATGTGGCAAGTGTTTCAAGAGCTACAGACTAAGACCTAAAAATATTAATCACTTTTCAAAGGGCCTGCTAAGAGTGCAGATGGTACCACTCAAACCGTCACCCTAGGTAACACAAGTAGCAGGGCAGGCCTGCTGGTGTTGGGGAGTCTAGCTCAGGAAATGATATATCTGGTGTACTGAGAGGAGAGCTAGTTAATAGTGAGAGATCCATTACTTTTTCTTCCAATTGCCAAATTTCACATTTCCATGTTTACGTCATCTTTGGATTATCATGGGAAGAGTGGTAGTATATGTAAAGTATGCCTAAGACCAGGAATTCTTGACCTGAGGTCTGTGAATTTGTTTTTTTTTTTAAACTTTAATTAATTAATTAATTAATATTTTTTTTTTTTGGCGAGGCATTTGGGGTTAAGTGACTTGCCAAGGGTCACACAGCTAGTAAGTGTCAAGTATCTGCTCTGAGACTGGATTTGAATTGAGGTCCTCCTGACTCCAGGGCTGGTGCTGTATGCACTGCACCACCTAGCTACCCCCCAAAATTTTTGATATAATTATATTTCAATGTAATTGGTTCATTTTGTATTCTTATGTATCTTATGCATTTAAACATATTATTCTGAGCAGAGATTCATAGATCTTACCAAACTGCCAAAGTAGCCCAAGACGTAAAGAAACTTAAGAACCCCTGGACTAAATCCAGACCAATGCCCCTTCCCAACCTGCCTCATAATTAGTCAGTGGTACAGCTCACTGTGCTGAGGAAGTCCTATGTGAGCCCCAGGTACAGTCAGACCCTGTCTAGAGGTCGAGTCACCCTTGGAGGAGCAGGATGAAAAGAACAAACAGTGGCAGGGAAGTTAAGTGTCCAGGCCATACTAGGATATTACCAGGAGCTAGAAAAGAAAGAAGAGGGAAGAGGAGTGAGTTCAATGTAGGAGCCTTTCCTTAATCCCCTTCCCATCATTACTGGAAGATCAGAAAATCACCTTTGGGGAAGCTGAGAACCTTACCTCTTTTCCCTCTGTGGAATCTCACAGATTGAGGACATTTGGGCCTGAGAAATAGTTCATAGCACCTGTAGTCTCAATAAAACCTCCTCTGCCCTGGGATGGACTATGTGTGATCTCATGAGATACCTGAGGAGGGAACAGGTCTCTAAGGCCACCCAATATGAAGTGAAAAGAGAAGATATTCATTGTGGGACCATTGGGTGGGGCCTCTGATTGGGAATAGGGAGGTATGGAGGGATTCCTTACCAGAGTTGGAAGTAGAGCTGTCTTTTTTCTCTCCTGAAACAGAGACAAATGCAATCAATTCTTAGATTTCTGGCCTCTAACTTTGGAATGTGCTCTGTACTTTAGCCTCAGACCCCCACATATCTCATTCCTATCCTAGTCCAGAACTTTGTTCCCACTCAACATAAGTGGACATGCATCTTTTGTTATTACAACTCATGATCTAACTACCATAAAAGGGATCTCCAGAAAGGATCAAGGGTAGACTAGAAACCCTCAAAATCCTAGAAGCAAAGGCTCAGAGATTTATTCTTAACGCTGGGTGAAACCTGAATCTAATGCCCCCCTCTTTTTTTTTTTAACAAATGAGGATACTGAGGCCCAGTGTCATGGACAACTGATTCACTTAAGACCATAATGGTAACATCACAGTTAGGATTGGAATTCAGGTCATCTGATTCCAAATCCAATGTTCTCTATTTTACTCATAGATTTCAAAAGACAGTGTGGCATAGAGGTTAGAACTGTGTACTTGGGGTAAGAAAGACCTGGGTCTTAGAAGGCTATTATCCCCCTTTTACAGATGAAAAAACTGAGGCTTGGAGAGATTAGGTGCTCCGCCTGTGGTCACAGAAGTAGTAGATATCAGAGGCAGAACATGGAGTTGTGAGTTCCCAGGCTAGCGGAGTCAGAGACACAGAGACAGAGACAGAGACAGAGAGAAATGAAGAGACAGAGAGAGAGAGAAAGGGCGGGGGGGGAAGAAATGATTTTTGGATGCTGTGGACATGTATGAGAAGCCACCTCCTCAACCTGTCCCGGATTTCTAACATGCCTCCATAAAGACTTCTGAAACTTTCCCTTAATTTCTTGACTTTTTAATGGGTAGGGGAGGGGTAAGGGGAGGGAGAAGATTTGGAAGTGAAAATAAAAATAAAATTTTAGAAAAAAAGAAAGAAACTTTCCCTGGAGTAAGATTGAAGCTTTTCTCTTGGTTGAACTGAGATCTCATCTTGTTCCCATCTAAAGAGTTTATTCGGTCTTGTTTATGCTCTTGTATATTATTACCTGTATAACTTCTTTATTTTTTTCTTTTTTTTTTTGCCAGGCAATGGGGTTAAGTGATTTGCCCAGGGTCATACAACTAATAAGTGTTAAGTGTCTGAGGTCGTATTTGAACTCCTGACTCCAGGGCTGGTGCTCTATCCACTGTGCCACTTAGCTGGCCACCTTCTCTAATTTCTAATTTCTGCTTGCTTTTTTGCTTGGATGAGTGGATTCAGTTACCATTTGTTGCTTGTGAAGTCTTTTGGTTACTCTAGCATCTGGTGGATAGAGCTTAAACTGGTGAGAGTAAGCAATGGGAGAACAATGCCACTTTTGCTTTGAATCCATTAAACCCTTCCTAGACAAACGGTATGTAGAGGGGAGACAGGTTTAATTCTATTCCAGCATTACTTTTTGAGACTGGAGAAAAGAACACCCAGCCTCATGCTGCTCTTAGCACCTTCCTGTCCCTTCCTGCCCTGTTTCCTACTCTGCAACGGCTGTTTGGTGCTGGCATTGCCCTGGGCTCTCCTCCTCTCCTAAGAGGCTGTTTCAGACCTCATGTGATATCAATCCATTTCCTGCCCCCACCCCCTCCAACAGCCAGAGGTCAATGTATTTAAAGAACCTATGTGGACAACTTGGACTTGGGCTTACATACATTTAATGTATCCCTTTAATGACAGCCTACTCACTATGACCTCCAGCCTGGACTCTTCAAAGCCCAGCCTGCTCATACCCTTTGTCAAACCCCCCAACTCACCTTCCAGGTATGCACAATTAAAGTTACTATAGGTAGTTTTATCCTCTAGGTGGACTGTGCTGAGGCCACGGATGTTGGATTCAAAAGCAGAGACACTGAAGACCTGATATGGTGGGATCAGCACTTCCTTTTCGGATTTATTGTATGATAAATGTTGGATGGAAGCTCCAAGGCAAGTGGTGAAGGTGTAGAGAGTCCCTGAGCCCTTTGCATAATGTCTGGCCACATTTATGTCCTTAGATGATGAGGCAAATTGACCAAAGCGCATTTCTCTTGTCTGATCAGGATAGATTTTCAGATTTATGCCCCTGTAAACAGGAGTACATACTCCTCCAAGAAGTTGGATGGCTCGTGTCAAATAAAAATGGAAAGCTTTGAACTGGAAACTTTTCATGTAGTCATCTTTGGAGGTACAGCAGGTTCTGACCTTATTATTAAATTTCCTGTAAAATGGAATCTCATAATCAGTGTAGGCAATGACAGAGATTTCAAAAGGCTCTCCAATGGACTTTCCATTGAGATCCAGAGGCAGGTTCTTCCTTGTCTTCTCTGCTTTCTCCCACACATCATTTAACTGGGGATCTATTTTTCTTTCTTCAGCCAAGAGCTCTTTTGCCTTCTTCATCATGTCCATTTCACATCCCATATATTGGTCATCAAATGCATTGGGTTCAAGGCTCATGTAAATTTTCTTAAATCCAACTTTTAGCTGAGGAGAAAAAGGAAACTTTAGTTACAACCAGGATTTTAACTCTTAATATTTCTGATAATTAAAAAAAGGAAGCCTGCAGGTGTATATACATATGTTCACATGCGATTGTTCGTACACATATACATATACCTCACTGTACCTTATGTGCATGAACCATTTTATTTGGCCATCCAAAGTGAAAAAAGCATGAAGTGTGTGGGCAGTGAGTCACCAGTCCTCTGGTCTATGTTCAAGATTTTAAAGCTATCTCAGAGGTGTAATGACCTGGAGAAGGGGGTATCTCATTTGCCTGGGTTGGCTAAACAAGTTGTGGTGTATGATTGTGATGGAATACTACTGTCGTATAATAAATGATGAGGGATCAATGATCTCCAAAGCCGAGGACTCTCTTTGCTAGAGAGCAGCATGATACTTTGGACTGAACAACAGGTTTGGAATCAGAGTGCCTCGGGTCAAAACTTGGCTCTGCATTTGGTCTTGGGTGAGCTACTCCCCATGCCCAGCCTCCTCATCTGTCAGAAAAGGAGGTTTAACTCATTCCTTTGAGGTCCTTCCAGCTTTGTCTATGACTCTATGATCGACTCCAGAAACAGCACCCCTCCACCCCAGGCCTATTTGAGTTAACCCTATTATACCATGAGGTCAGGGTGAACAGAACTATACTGGAAGAGTGAAAACCAAGGGTAATGGGGAAGTCCTGGCAAATATGTTCTGAGGGGAGATAATATTCAGAAGGGTTTTGAGGTTATGAGAAAAAAAGCAAAGTAGGCAAAAGCAGGTAACATTCAGGATTATGCTCAACTTTGCTAGTTTGAAAGAAAGGATGGGGCTGTTGTGCATGATGGATGATTCTAAAACCAAAATGGGGTGGGAAAAGGTAAAAGGGAGTAATTATATTGTAAAAATGGTACATGAAAGGAAGCAGGTGAGGGTAGAGGGCTGGTAATGTTGGAACCTTATTCTCATCCGGGATGAAGAGGAAATAATGTGTACCTCTGGAAGAGTGTAGAAGTCTTCTGAACATGTAGAGAGGTGAGAAAACTGTGGGACAGGGTGGGGAGGGACTTTCAGAGGGGTCTGTACATTGAGATTGGTGAGGGTATGGGGAGAAGATGGGGAGACTTTTGGAGAAGTGTGTAGATTGAGACTGGTGGAGGTAGAGGGAGGGTATGGGGGACTCTTGGAGGGGAGATGAAGTAGGGTGGGAGAGTGGGGGGAGAAGGTAAGGTAAAAGGGATAAGGTAAAAAGAAAGGGTGAGAGAAAATAGTGAGTCAAAAGATAAAGGGAAATCCAGAAATAGTAATTATAACTTTGACTATGAATGGGATGTTTATAGTAACTGTCTTTGTGGTGGCAAAGGATCAGAAATTGCAGGGATCCCCATCAATTGGGGAATGTCTAAAGAAATTGTGGTGTATGGTTGTGATTGAATACTACTGTGCTATAATAAATGATGAACTCAATGATCTTAGAAAGGCATGGGAAGATTTGCAGGAAATTTTGAAGAGTAAAATGAGCAGAACCAAGAGAACATTGTATACAGTAACAGCAATATTATTTTAAGAATGACTTTGAGTGATTGTCATTTTGACTATTATAAACCTACAAATTAAACATAAAGAACATATGAAGAAATATACAATCTGCATTCAGAGAAAGAACTGATAAACAGAAGCATGCCTAGAATAATTTTATAAATACATACTCACACACATATTCCTAGTTGTGTCTAATGGTAGCCATCACTAGGGTAGGGGCGGAACAGAAGGAAACAAAAGGAGAAAAAAGAAATTTACATGGTAACTGTGAATAGCAAGTTGTACATGGTAAACTTGCAGTTTCGTGTGCAATATGTTTTTTTTTATTGTACTGTGTTTTGCAATTATTTGTTTTGTTCTGTGATTTGAAAATAAGATAAAATGAAATAAAAATTAAAAACCCAGCTAACATGATCCACTGAGTCTTCAGCACAATCTCTTCATCCTGACTTTCTGTTTTTGCTGTTGGATTAGCATAAAGGAGAACTGGCCAATTAGGGTCCACTCTGTAGAGTATGTGCAATATCCTCTGACACCAACCCACATGGAGGCTTGGTGAGCCTCTTTCTGGGGATGCCTAATGGAGAGGCACAGGCAGGTGTGCTGGAGTCAGTTTAAACCACTAGGGAGATCCAATTGTTAAATTTTCAGTGTGAGCATTTGCACCTTGGAAATCAACAGATGCTACAAATAAAAGCCTGATTTATTGTTTTCCTGATTATCTAGATTTAAGAAAGTGATGGAGAAAATGTTCACAATGCAAATTAAGCTTAAATGTCAAATGTACATCCCCTCCCCCCGTAAGCTGGTTATTAAACATTTACCAGCACTCTGCTGTCACAGGTGTTGTTTGACTCTCCTGTCAGCTTACTGGATGGTGATAGAAAGCCTTTTAATTGGCTAAGGGGCCAGAACTGAATGTGCACACAAAAGGCACAGGCAATCTTTCTTTTTTCGCTTGGCAGCTTTTAAGAGACCCTTCAGGTGGAGCGAGAGGTAGCAGAAATGGCAGGAGCTGACTGCTGCTCCCTCTGTCTCACTCTCCACCTGGGCTGCTGTGTGGCTGTGGCAACACTTTTCTTCCTCTGTCATGTTTGCTCACCCCTGATCTTAGGTAACTGAGCACTGGGGACAGAACAGAAAAGGTCTTAATCTTGTAAGCTTTGAAACATCAGCAGGTTGGGGGAGTAGAGAATGTTCTTGAATTACTACTAGTAGTAGCAAGTTTGAACACACTCTCCCCATGGATTGGAATGATAAAGGAGAGTGTGACTCAGGATTTGGAATTCTTACACTGGGCTCTTGTTTACATTTTCCCAGTCAATGTCCCTCTGTAAAATCTAATTCATGTTCACTGATACTGAGAAAGCAAGTGACCAAATTGATGTTGGGAGATACTAAAAGGTGACTGAAATTAGGGAAAGATGCTGGATTCATGAGCTATAGGAATAGAAGCTCCAGAGGCCCCAGAACCCTTGAAGGAAGCACTTGTCAGTCATGCTCTGGGGATCTGACTAGCCAATGCTATCAGGGTTGAAGAGTCAGCATCAAGCCTATCTGTGCCAGCTTTTGCTATGGGATTTGATGATCAAATGATAATCCAAAGCACAAACCCTGATGTTAGCAATATGGTAAAGGAAGAGATTCTTTGAATTTGAGAAACACTCACAGAGGGCATGACAAGCAATGAGACTAAAATATTAAACACTTTGGGGTGACTTTGTTACATCTCCCTGTGGACAGTTATAGTAGGGCCCTAGAGTTTGAGCTGGAGAGGGCTTTAGAGCCCAACCTCCTCATTTTACAGATGAAGAAACTGAGGCACTGAGAAGTTAAGTAACTTGCTTAGGATCACACAGCTAGTAATTGTCTGAGATGGTGTTTTAACTGAGATCTTCCTGACCACAAGTCCAGTGCTCTGCCTATTACACCACACTGCCACTCAAGTGAGAGAGGTAGCACTGCATAGTACATAGAGGACATTCCTAAAGTCAGGATAACCTGGTCTTGTCTCTGACACATTTGCTATACAGCCCTAAGCAAGTCACTTAACCTTTAACATTTTAGTAAATTCTCTATAAGTTGCAGAGAAGTCAAGTCAACAAAGCATTTAAGTGCCTACTATGTGCACTGAAAATACAAACAAAGGCAAAGAACCTAGCCCTTGTTCACCAGGAGCTTGCAGGGGGAGACAACATGCAAACAAGTATATACAAACAAGACAAATAGAGGATGCATTGTGAGAGAAATGATTATTTCTTATATTAATATCATTAATTGAGATTAAGTTTCTCCCTTTCTATTTCCTCATTCAGAAATACACCCCTGTAGGTTATTGAGCCAAGTCTCTGAAAGGACATTGCTGATAGATGAGATTGCCCAAACCTTTGGGGTATGTGCTTTTTGATCTTGAGTAGGACTGCACCCAACTAGGAGATCTTACAAAAAGAATCTAGTCTAAGCCAGATCTTGCCCATAGGAAATAAGCCTCCGTCTGTCCTTGGAGCCTTCCATTAGCATTTAGGGTGACCCAGCTTATGAAGGGGGAAACCAGCCAGTGAAGTGTGGGTAGAGAGGGATTCTTTTGCCCAGGTTGCTGGAAGTGGCTGAGTCTCATGATTAGGTCCTGTTCTCTGCAGGAGGAACTGCAGACTTTTTGCCCACCTGCTCATCAATATGTCCCTCCTTTTCCCCTCCCCTATTGATTACTAACCAGAGTTGATTTCCATCTTCAGGGACACACACTTTTCCAAAGGCGTTTCCAGGCAGGGTCTTTGTTTTATGAAAGCCAAATGACCATTTTATTAATTATCTACTAGTCATGATGAATAAAATTATTAATTACTCAGAAACTATGTCTCTTGAACTTCTCATATGTCACAATTCGAAATAATCAGTAGAGGGAAGGCACCAGCACTAAGGAGCAGCCAGGCGGTGCAGAGGTTAGAGCAGTGGCAGTAGAGTTGGGAAGATCTGAGCTCTAACCTGGGCTCAGACACTTACTGGCTTTGTGACCCTGGGCAAGTCAGAACCCCTATATACCTCAGTTCCTCATCTGTAAAATGGGAACCCATTGGAGAAGGAAGCGGTAACCATTCCAGTATCTTTGCCAAGAAAATAAGTCAGACATTTCTGAATAATCAAGCAAAAACCAGCATTAAGGGGATCTGGATGGGGTTCTCTTAGAAGGTGAATTTTAGCTTGGACTTAAAGGAAGCCAGGAGATGAAGATGAGGAAGGACAGCATTCCACACATGAGGGACAGCCAGTGAACATTTAGGGAGTTGGGAGAGGGAGAATTTTTGGACAAAGGACAGTAAGGAGGGCAGTGCCACTAGATCATGAGAGACACTAAGGTGTAAGAAGACAGCAAAAGTAAAAAGAAGGCTGCTTACGAAGAGCTTTAAAGACCTAGCGGGACTTTCTGTTGGATCCTGGGTAACAGGAAGCCACTGGAGTGGCTGGGGGTGGGCTTGGGGGGAGGGGTAGGAGAATATGATCAGACTTGCACTTTAGGAAGAATTGTTTGGTAGAAGAGGGGAGGATGGACTGGAGTGGGGAGAGACTTGAAGCAGGAAGGCCAACAAGAAGGTTCATGGAGTAGTCTAGGCTTGAGAACTAGGTTAGGAATTAAGAGGTTGTGGGTGGCAGCTAGGTGGCACAATGGATAGAGTGCCAGGCCTGGAGTCAGGAAGACCTGACTTCAAATCTGGCTTTAGATACTTGATACCTGTGTGACCATCGGCAAGTCATTTAACCTCTGCCTCAGTTTCCTCAAACAGGGAGAGGCTAGAAAAAGAGAGAGAGGGAGAGAGAGAGAGAGAGAGAGAGAGAGAGAGAGAGAGAGAGAGAGAGAGAGAGAGAAGAGAGAGAGAGAGAGAGAGAGAGAGAGAGAGAGAGAGAGAGAGAGAGAGAGAGAGAGAGGAGAATCATTGAGACATCTTTATTTATTTTTTTTTAAGTATAGAGAAGAGAATAGAAGGATGGCCAAAAAGAAGCACAGACAATAGGAAATTTTGAGAACTACGTGTTGAACTTATATACTTAAAAATAAAATCAAGATACACATAACAGAGACCTGCAGTTTCAAGCACAACCCATTTTCCCTTTTCTACTATGTATGTGCAAATGCTAATTCTGTTTGGTGTTTCTTAAGTTCAGACTAACAAAAAGATTAATGAATGGGTTGGACTCAATAACCTTTAAACCATGAGGCTTCAACACACTAAACTAAGATAATTTCATTTTTTGATGAGTTTATGTGACTGAAAAGTGGAAAGGACATTGAAATTGGAGTGAGAGGCCTGACTTTGAACCTTGAATCCCACCTCTGCCACTTAATACCTGTGTGACTTTGAGCATGTCACTTAATGTTTCCAAGACTCTTTCCTCAGACTTAAAATGAGGGTTCAGAGAGGCTGAACCCTCCACTCCTTCCAGCTCTGAATATACAGACCCTCTGAACAGATAAAACCTCAGAGAAATTCTACATACATGGCAGATGTGTATTCCCATAAGGTAATTGACAAGGTCTCTTACAATATCCTTGAGGATAAGATGGAGTGATGAGGACTAGATAATGACATGGTCTATTGGATTTGGAATCAATTAATCATATGGATGCACCAGAGTTGACCAATGTCTGACTGTGTCACTCTCTCAGAAAACCCATGTGGGACCCAAACTGGGAAGGGCCTTAAATGCTGACTGTATTTTATCCTTGGAGCAATGGCATTCCAACAACACCTACACAGAGATTAGTTCATACCAAATATACACAGGCTAGATATAAAGTAATTTTGATAGAGAAAGAGCAGTAACAACCAAGGCATCAGGAATGGCCACGTATAGTCAGTGACACCTGACCTGTGCTTAGAAGGAAGTTAGGGATGCTTTGAGGCAGGTGAGGTGAGGTGAGAGAGCAGAAGGGGGAACAGAAGAATGTTCTAGACCCAGTATATTAGAGGGGGTCAAAGATATAATCCAGAATGTGTGTGTGTGTGTGTGTGTGTGTGTGTGTGTAAAACCATCTTTTGAGCATGCCTAGTTTGTCTAAACTATAACCTGCTGCATTCCTACTATGTGAGTAGGATAAACTCCTTTGATGGGATACCTGCATCTTTAAAACTGGAAACAGAGTTGAGTCTCCTTCTGCCATCTTTTTGGCTGTGTGAATAGCTGCTTAGCCCAGTGTGGTCGCTGTGAACAGCATCAGTGATAAGGGGAAAATTCTCACCTTTCCCTAGTTCTCTGTCTTGTACCTGGCTTGGAGAAATGGGGGTGGGGTGGAGGGAAGTGGGAAGTTGTTCCTGCTTTGTGCTACTTGTCCTCAGTTTCAGGTCCTTAGCTCGGTGTCCCTAGAGCCTAGTCCCAGTCCCAAATTCAAACCCTGCCCTGGGGTTCAAATCCCAGGCACCCTGGCTTCTCAGGGCTTCCATGTCAACCTATCTGACTGCACCAGCCAGCCTCAATCCTGGCTGCCAAGTTGTCATGGTTTGATCTTCTGGTCCTGTGGGGATCACCTCTGACACCTGAAACTGAGCGTCTGTGGATAAGATGGCCACTTACTTCATATATAACCAGCCCAATGATCCCAATGATCATGACAACTATAACTGTGGTGATGATGATTTTCCATTTACAATTCATTTTAAGATCTTCTTGCCTCTTCTTATCCCTGTAATTGAAACACAAACAAATGAAAAGTCTATTATTTCTGCTTCTAAGATAAAATACAAACTCGTTTGAGGTTAAAAGCCTTCATAATCTAGCTGCAGTCTACCTTCCTGATTTCACATTACTTCCCCTTGTTTACTCTATGCTTCAGTCAAACTGACCATCTTGCCACTCCCTATTGTAAAGGGAAAGAATATTAATACTATACTCTGCATTTTAGGAACAAGAAACAATCTTACTGCTAGAAACAATTTTATTTAATTTAACATTGTATAAATCCAGGTCATTTTCAGTTTAGATAGAGATGGCCAAAATGGCATCATTCCCCCATGTTCCTGGATGTTCTCCCCTAAAACAATTTGGGGTAACATTTATAGGAATCTTGAATAAGGAAATATTAACATCATATATTAAAATATACTTATGGATCAACTCTTTTTTTTTTTGCTTTCTTTTGGTGAGGCAGTTGGGGTTAGGGACTAGTCCAGGGTCACACAGCTAGTAAGTTTCAAGTGTCTGAGGCAACATTTGAATCCAGGTCCTCCCGACTCCAAGGCCAGATATCTATCTACTGGGCCACCTACCTGCCCCTAGACTAACATTCCAAAGCAGTAGTCACTACCCAGCTCCTTTCTTCCTTCCCCTCAAGAGTTGAAAGGGCTCCCTTTCTGTGACCATGATCTCAATCCTGTGTTTCGGAAGTTTTCCAGCTTGGGTTTTTTGATAGCCCAGGGAGAATCTCATTCAGCAGGGGTCGAAAAGTATCAAGAATGACAATCTTCCCTGATCTTAGGTAACACATTATCTTAGGTAACTCCAGGGTTACTCATTGCATTGATTAGAGCCTTGGAGTTTTTCCTGAAGTCAGGAAGATTTGAGCTCAAACCAGGGCTCAGACAACTACTGGCTTTGCAATTCTGGGCAAGTCACTTAACCCCTATTTGCCTAAATTCCTCAGCCATAAAATGCGGACACACTGGAGAATGAAGTCACAAACCATCCCAGTATCTTTGCCAAGAGAATGAGTCAGACACAAGGCAGATACTATTGAAGGACTGAACAACAACCATGTTTAAGGGGATCTGGAAAGAGTTCTTGTTGAATTTTAGCTTAGACTTAAAGGAAGCCAGGGAGGCCTGGAGGTGGAGAAAAAGAGGCAAAAAAAAAAAAGAGGGCACGGACTATCTTTTCTTCTTCTTCTTCTTCTTCTTCTTCTTCTTCTTCTTCTTCTTCTTCTTCTTCTTCTTCTTCTTCTTCTTCTTCTTCTTCTTCTTCTTTTGTATCCCCAGAGCTTAGCACAGTGACTGGCACATGTTAGATGTTTATTATTTAGTTTAATGTTCATTATTTACTGATATTGTCTATATAAGAAAATATTTGTAATAGCACTTTTGTCGTAGCAAAGAACTGGAAACAAACTAGATGCTCTTGATTGGGGAATAGCTAAACAAATCAGGATTCCTGACAAATAGGAAGAATTCAGAGCAGAAGAAGACTGTATTGTATGTATTACAGCAGAGTATAGCAAGTAGAACCAGGAAAACAGTTTACACAATCAAAATGACCACAACAATGTAAACAGAAAGAAAAGACAAAAGTGAATGCTGTGTAATTGACTAAATTTGGCATAAAAGAAAAGTTTAAAAATGCTCCTTCTCCATTTCATTCCAGGGGTGGGAGATAAAAGGGATTTTGTGTGTGGAATATTGTGTCCAGAATTCTGTCAAGTATGGAAAATATGTTTCTTAGTTTCCCTGAACCGCTTTTTGTCTTTCATTTGTAGTCTTTATCCAAGGGGATGGCTCCCTGGTTGAAGATCAAGGACGGAGGGATAAATTCATCTATCTTAAAAAAGACTCAATAAAGACCTGATTATTTCCTTATGTGTTAAACAGGGATGGCATAAACTTCTGCCCCATGGCAGCCCCTACCTGAGACAGTGACAAGCCTTTGTTTAAAAAAAAAAAAAGGTCTCTATATTCTCCAAATGATAAAAAGTCAAAGGATATGAACAGGCAGTTTTCAGACAAAGAATTCAAAGCTATCTATAGTCATATAAAAAAATTCTCTAAGTCATTATTGATTAGAGAAATGCAAATTAAAACAACTCTGAAGTACCACCTCACACCTATCAGGAGTGAAAAATGCTAGAGGGGATAAGGGAAAATAGGTACACTAATAAATTGTTGGTGGAGTTCTGAACTAGTCCAACCATTCTGGAGAACAATTTGGAACTATGCCCAAAGGGCTATAAAATTGTGCATATCTTTTGCCCCATAATACCACTAATAGGTCTGTACCCCAAAGAGATCAAAGAAAAAGGAAAAGGACCTATACCCACAAAAATATTTATGACAGCTTTTTTAGTGGTAGTAAATTGGAATTGGAAATTGAGGGCATGTTCATCAATCGGGAATGGCTGAACAAGCTGTGGCATATAATTGTGATGGAGTATATTGTGCTATAAGAAATGACAAGGGGGATGGTTTGAGAAAAACATGGCAAGACTTATATGAACTAAGGCAAAATGAAGTGAGAACTGGGAGATCTCTGTGCACAGAAAAAGCAATGTTGTAATGATCAACTGTGAAAGAATTAGCTATTTTGACTGATAAAATGAACCAAGATAAATTCCAAAGGACTCATGATGAAAAAATGCTATCAACCTCCAGAGAAAGAACTGATGAAGTGAATGCAAATAGAGGTATAATTTTCTTGCTTTTTTTGGTTATATGACTAATATGGAAATATGTTTTTCATGGTTTCTCATGTGTAACTGATATTGTATTGATTGTTTTTTCAGTGGGAGGGGAGGTTTGGGAGGGAAGGAGAAAATTTAGAACTTAAAATTTAACAAGAAAAGAATCCTAATAAATAAATAAATAATACATTTAAAAATGCTTAAGTAGAATCTAAGAGACAAATGACAATAAAATAAATCTCAGATACTTGGAAAAAAACTCACATTTCAGGTTTTCCACATAGAATGATTGCTTTCAAATTCAGAAAGGTCCTGGTTATTGATTAACAGTGACCTGGCTAGTTCAGTGCACTGTATGGTGATCCCTAGGGTAAAAGGGAAATCTTTTAAACTTTTAAAGAGAACTTCTCACACTTTTAAACTTTGGACTATTGATCCAAAATTGATTCAGAGATGTAACCCTGATATACACCAATTGAGTCACAGTGTTTCTAGTGAGTTACCACAGAGTCCATAACAATCAATGATCAGACTATTTACCATATGACCACATACGAAAACATTGAAACTACCTTCCCATTTGTCTGTGACTGCTTGTATGTTTGTGTTGGGGAAAAGAGAGTGTTAGTTTCTCTGCAAGCCAGTGTCTTAGTTATCTCTAGTCTCTGTGTTATATTCACATGTGGGGCTGTCCCCAGTCATCCTGGGCCCAAATGGCTCCAGAGGAGAAAGTGAAGCTGATGACTTTGCACAGCCCTCTCTCACTTAAATCCCTTGCAAGTCATGACATTGCCTTCCTGAGGACAAACAACAACAACAGAATTCACATGGCTCTCATTTACATAAACTGCTCTGTGGCATCTTCTTTCATGAGCTGCTAAGTTTTTATGATCTTACCATGATAGAAAATTCAGAGTACCTGCCAAGTTCTCACAGAACTTCTCACAGACAGTGAGACTTCTCAAGGTCCCTTGTACTTTCACCAAACACTAAGTTACTCTTGTCTCATTTGAATACTTCAGATAGTCTTTAACCAGAAGAGCCCTCTGCTTTCTAGACAAGTCTTTAATAAGTATTAGCTCAAAGTCCTAAAATCAGTACTAGATGCAAAGAGGAGGCAACTTCCTAGTGATACCATTGCATCTCACTCTCGGCATCGTCCCACAAATGAACAGCACTCATGACGAGGATTTCCACAAATCACAATGCAAGAAACTCATAAATATTATATCGATGTGAAATAATATCATCGGAACAAAACTTTGTTTGCCAGTTAACATTAATCTAGTTAAATGCATCTCCAAATTAACTACATGAAAAAGCTGTTCCATTCATCTGCCAGTCTTGGTATTGTAGACTACTTGTGTTCTGAGAGCAGTATAGAGTAGTTATCATTTTAGGTCTCACAGCTACAGAGGTGTAGCATGAACAGTTACCATTGAGAGCATAGATGAACTATTCTGTGAATAATAATTTTCTCCAATTAATTTATCAAACCCAATATAAATCCAAATTAAAAGATTTAAAGCTTACTATAACATTCTAGCTCTTTGTCCACACATACAAGAATATCAAAATCTGTGAAATCAAGCTTGAGCAGGAGTGGGAAATCTGTGGCCTTCTAAGTCCTCATGTGTGGCCTTTTGACTGAATCCAAATTTTACAGAATAATTTTTAAATAAACAATTTTAAATAAAAGGATTTTTTTCTGTAAAATTTGGATTCAATCAAGAGGCTCCATATAAGGACCTAGAACACATGTGGCCTTAATGCCACAGGTTCCCCACCCTTGACTTGATAATCAGCTAGGTGGCCCAGTGGATAGACCACCAGGCCTGGATACTTGCTAATTGTGACTCTGGGCTAGTCACTTAACCCTGTTTGCCTCAGTTCCTCACAAGTAAAATGAACTAGAGAAGGAAATGGCAAACCACTCCAGTATCTTTGCCAAGAAAACTCCAAAAGGGGTCATAATGGTCAAACATGACCGAACAAAATAATCATGAGAAAGCTCAAAACCAAGCCTCAGCTTCCTCGGGAAGAGATAAGCTATTTTCTGAGTGCAGTTAACATTTGTATGTGTCTGTCAAACGTCCTATTCTCTTGTGTCACTGATGAGCTCTCACTAAATCTAACATACATTTCTTGTGATACTTCCTAATTTAATCTCTCAAATTCAATAAGGGTTATTGCTCCCACAACACTATGGTTCTAAACTCTCTTTCCAAAGGGCACCACACATTTAGGTGAGAAAGAGCACAGGATTAATCTCTCTAACTCACAGATCTGTGGGAAAAAAAATTGAGCTCTTTGAGGGAAATTTCTTCAAGGAGTCTTCCTGGCCAACTTAAAGTTTAAAAATAACTATGGCTAATGGAGTCCTGGAAATTTTCCTTATTCTGTTCATCCTTAGAACAGTTTGGCTGCTCTGTTGCATTCCTGTGATTCAGTTCACCTTCAGGCTTAACCAGGGTCACTGTCCCCAGAGGCTGCACTACAATGACCGGTCTGAAGGACAAAGCTCAGCTGCCGCAAAGTCTTTCCATAGGCTTCTCCTTAAGTTCTAGAAGAACAATAATAGCTAACATGTAGAGAGTGCTTACTATGTGCCAAGCACTGTGTTAAGCACTTTATGATTATTATCTCATTTGATCTGAGGACATTCCCGGGAGGTAGGTCCTCTTATTATTCCCATTTTACAGATGAGGAAACTGAGGCAACCTCCCCACAGAGGTTAAGTGACTTGCCCAGGGTCACACAGCTAATAAATGTCTGAAGCATGATTTGAACTCAGGTTTTCCTGACTCCAGACCAAGAGTTCTGTCTGCTGTGCCATCTAGCTGCCTTAGAAAAGAAGCATTTGTGGAGTTAGTCTCCTCTTCTGATCTTTCAACTTTTTAACCACCACTTACTGGTCATGTGTTCATATAGTACTATCAGTCAAGGACTAAACATTAAGTAACTCTTATGTTCCCAGAGTAAGATTAGTCAGTTGTGATCAAGATGCCAGGTTGTCTTAGCCTTGGGCCATGGTTTACAAGACCAAGAATTTCCTGATGAAGCCTCAGAAGTGATAGAAAGACTTTACCATAGGCCAGCAAGAGTCAGCCTTTGTTTCAAACTGGCTTGTTGCAGACAAATTTAAAAGGAAAATGACCCTTGCTGCCCTTTTGAAACAGGAAAGCAAAACCAATCATCACAGGAAGTCACTTGGTTAAAGTTTTACCTTGTGTAACCTCTAGCTCCTTTGGGTGGAGTCAGCTACTTCTTTTTTTTTTTTTTTTTGGAAGGCAATTGGAGTCAAAGGACTTAACCAGAGTCACACAGCTGTTAAGTGTTATGTGTCTGAGGTCGGATTTGAACCCAGCCTTTCTTGACTCAAGGGCCAGTGCTGTATCCACTGTGCCACCTAGAGGCCCCAAAGTCAGGCACTTTTCTGAGAAGCTTGCATTACCCCACTGCTGACAACAAATTGTTACAGGAAATTCTCAGCATAGGTTCCCTGGGAGTCCAGGGAGAATTTCATCCACTACCATGTCTATAAGACTTGGATTGCAGTGAGTAGACAGACTGAAAGAAAAAGAAATTGATTAATATACTAAGAATGATTGCTGCCCCTGGTAGGAGCTTCAACTTCTTAGTGTACAGATTGGACTTTCATGGCTTTTTAACCTCACTTAGAGTACACAGGCCACCAGTGGCATTCCTTGGCAGAAAAGGTTTGGTGAAGTGTGATAGCCTTCAGGTCATAAGAGTTGCTAAAAGGTAAATTTGTTCTTGGGGTAAATGCATTTCTCTGTGGTTAGTCTTATCAACATTTCTTGTATTAGTCAATCTCTAAGACGGTGAGGACCTCATTTTGAAAAGAATCATGCCTGTTTATCCTGTGGTTGCCAATGAGGAGAGAAGTCTAAACCGTCTAGTTCTGTTTCCTTGGTCTTAGAGGTTACTTTTTTGGGGACAAGATGTTTGCCCCAAACTGACAATATTCATGTTTTTCCACCTTCTGCACACCTGGAATGGGAAAGAGCACACTATCCTTGGGTGTGTCTTGGCCCCAATCACTTCAGGGAATGGGAAAGTAATGGTATTATCAAGACAAGTGTTAGAATTAGTTATTGCTCGTTATCCATTTCCCTAAGACAGGGCTCACTTTTTGTTTGACCAGTTTTCCTAAGGGGAAAAGTCTGGAAAGGCTTCTTAGACTAAAGAAATGTTTATTTCTTAATATTCCTAGAGAAACTGAAAAGGAAGTTTTAAATACACTCCTATTGACATTCCTTCTCCTGCCACCAAGCCTTAGCAAAGGATTTCTATTCCACCTTCTTTCTTCCCACCATCTCTAAAATGCTGTCCTTCCTCACCTCTTCCTTTCAGGATTCTGGCCACTTCCTTTAAGAAGCCATTTCTGACCTCTTCTCCATTCCAGTTCCCTCATTAGTGTTCTCTTTCCCTTGAAATCATTTTGTATTATTTTAAATATATCTTATATTTACTTTTCTGTGTACATGTTGAATTCTGCAAGGGCAAGTATGATTTTATTTTAGAGTTTGTGAGCCCAGAATTCAGTACAGAGCTTTACACATAGTAGGTATTTTAAAATGCTTGTTGGGTTGAATAGAACTATTTTCTATTGGTACCTTTTTGTTCAATTTCATTGAATGTCAGAGTTATAAGGACCTGAAAGACCATTAAATCCAATCTGTACATTTCCTGGATGATGGTGCTGAGGCTCAGAGAGGAACACTTAACCACTTACCTCCAAAATCAGATCCTCAGGCATCAGGCTGCTCACCTAGAAGACCAGAGTCTACAATGCCTGGTCATGGTCGTAAGGACCCTCCCTGAGAACAATCAGTCAGGCGATAAACGTTCATTGAGCACCTACTATATGTGAAACTGTGCTAAGTACTGATACCAGACCTTTTTCTCTCAGGAGTTCATCCATAGGAAGAATAACTAACCCCAGGTTCCATCACCCTTCTTTTCCAGATTTTAAAAGAGAACAAGGACACAAAACTAATTGGTGGAAAAGTTAGCACTAGAACTCATATCTTCTAAATTCCAATTCAGAGCCCATTATGTTGCTTTCCTTGGACTCACTCCTCTTTTGATTCCAGTTAGACAGTGCCAGTCTCCTGAGTTCCCAGGCTCCAAAATCTAGAGTTTACTTTGATTCTTCTTCCTCTATTCTTTCTGTCAAATTAGTCACCAAATCCTATTTAGGTTCCATTCACAAGTTCACATATACTTTCATCTTCTCCAATGCCATGATCACCGGCCTAGGAGAGGACCTCTCAATCTCATACTATTAGTGCTACAACAATATTTATCTGGTTATATTTGATTCCTCTGACCCTGCCCTTCCCAGTTCCTTTCCCAGCTAGAGCTTCTTACAGAAGGAAGGTCCAGCCCTTTGTGGTCTCTGATTCCTGGAGAGGAAGAGTAGTTTCTATTTATATTAGACACTTCTTGATAGGAACTGCTGAGGTCAACTATCAGGGTCAACTTTCCTCAGAGTGAGAGACAGAGAGATATAAGCTGGAGAACCACTTTCATGGAGTCTGGGAACCCTATGCTCACCAGGCAAACGTACTTTGAGGAAGATTGGGATCCAATATTCTTTAACATTTTATTTTCCAAATCCTCAGGTCATCTTACTACAAACTGAGATACATAATAAGGCTAGGGAATCATCTTCATCATCCTAGTTCTTCAGGGTCTATATTCCAGAAGGAACCATATACAGAGCACCATACCCCAAGTGAGTCCACGGCCCTCTCAAGAGAAAAGGAAACTAGAAAGAACTAGAGGAGTTCCAGAATTATCATGACATGAGAATATGTGTCTAAGGTCAGCATGCTCCCCTGCCCCATAGCATCTCAAAATAGCAGGATATGCACCAAATAGAATGAGAATAAAAACAAACTGCTGCAGTAACAACAGCAAGAGGCCCAGAAATTACAATGGGACAATGACAAGACTCTTCATTCAAAGTGGTTCAGAAGAATTCCCATGCTTCCTTATTATTAATACTCAAGGATCAAATCTAAAATTCTCCACTTGGCTTTCAAAGACCTTCAGAACCCGACTGCTTTCTATCTTTCCAGTCTTTTTATATCTTACTCCTTTTCATATACTCTGTGATCCAGTGTCATTGACCTCCTTATTACTCCTCACACATAACCCTCATCTCCCGACTCAGAGCTTCTGCACTTGCTCTGTCCTTGAGCAGGAATGCTCTCCTTTTCCATCTCTACTTCCTACTTTCCCTAGCTCACTTAAGTCTCACCTTCTGCAAGAAGTCTTTCTCAATCTTTCTGAATCTTAATCGATTCCTTTTGCTATTACCCTCAGTTTATCCTGTCTATATCCTGTTTACACATAGTCATTTGCATGTTGTCTATCCCATTAGACTACAAGCTCTTTGAAAGCTGGGCCTTTTTTCCTTTCTTTTTTTCTGCCTAGGGCTAAGCAAGTGTCTGGCAAGGAGTAGGAGCCTGATAAACCCTAGTTGACTGACTGAAAGAAGAAATAAAGATGGAAATTAGAATTCTCAAGAAAGAATTTGTTTATTAAAACTCTTTACTCACTATCAAGAAAAGCAGAGAGCATTTGTGGGTGAATTTTAAAATGCTAGATGAGAACTCAAGGTCTTTGATTCAAAATCCAGCAACAAAGACCTTAGAACTTTCTCCTCATCTAAGGATGATCGAGAGAACAAAGGAGTGAAAACATGAATTATCTTTGAGGTGGAAAGTGATTGGGAGAGTGTGGATGGATCTCGCTAAATTGTTGGATCATCTGGAACAACTATCTCCCTTTTTACATGGGAAGGGGGTAGGGTGGAGGTCTGTTACAGGGAGAGATGAGGAGAGGAGGAGAATGGGGTAGTGGTAGAGGGAGACAATCATGCTAGCCTGATCTGGGTAGACCTAGAGGGCGCTATTGTCTTTTAGATTTCTCACCTGTTCTGAGAGTTATTAGGAGAGCTAGGAGAAAATATTTGGGGAGTGGAACATAGAGGAAGGAAATAAAATTCTACTTTTGAAGATGATAAACTCTGGAGGAATCCCAGCATGTTTCCCTCTGGTGAGAAGGATTGCGTCTGGAGCCTTGCAAGGGGTTCCATCAAGGGAAAGTGGGCATTTTTGGACTGTGATTCATCCTGTAAAGATAGGACTTTGTATCCTCAGGGAATCCTAGAACAAGGGGCAGGTGAGAGGCAGGGTGTCTGAACTCCAGAAGGATGATATGTGTGATCCAAGAATGTGCCTGTGCTGAATGGCCAGGTCTAATTTTAGCCTGAACTCTCTGATTCTGGACATAGAGGCTTCTTCCCCACCCTCCTTTATTTTTTAACCATATCATGCTTCATGAATTAATGTTTTGTGGCATAGGCTTCTCAGAAGACAGCCCCTCAAACAAAGATGTGGGTAAGGGAGGAATGGGGGAGTTCTACACAAAGAAACCTGAACCTCCATCAGAGCAAGACTCTTTAAGGTACAAGCTAGGACCTTCATCTTGGAGGTTACAGGCAGGTTTTTGTTGCTGAGTCTTTTCTCAGTCATATCTGACTCTTCATGATGCCATTTGGGGTTTTCTTGGCAAAGATACTGGAGTGGTTTGCCACTTCCTTCTCCAGCTCATTTTACTGGTGAGGAAACTGAGGTAAACAAAGTTGAGTGACTTGGCTATTAAGTGTCTATGGCTGGATTTGAACTCAGGAAGATGAGTCTTCCTAACTCCAGGCCCAGCACACTGTGCCACCTAGTCACCCCTACAGGCAGGTAAGCTTGTTCATCATCAGCAAAACTGGAGGAGATGCTGTCTGGTACTGTGAGAAGTTCCCCTATCCTCCTCCCCCACAACCTATCAGCCTGGGGTCTTCTGCTACTCTGCCCAGCTTCATTGTATCAACATAATATTGCAGTTCTGTCCTACCACCTTATTGGTCCCTGGGTAAAGTCTTAGTTGTTGGACTAGACCCAGCCCAAGATCAAACCATCACTTGTCACTTTACTTACCTCACCTCTTACTTCCAGGTCCTAGTCTAAGACCTGACCCACAGATACCTCTAGAATTAAAGCCTCTGCAACCTAGGCTCTCATCTCTAGGACAGAGACTATAAATACCCAGCCTTCTTCTCAAGGACTAAGCCTAGGAAGAAAGATTCAGACACCAGTCCTCTTGCCACCAGAAAGTCATCTACAGCAAGAGATATGAATACCAGGCTTAATCTCCCTTCTTCCTTAAGATTTAGAAGAGAATTGATTCTAACCCCTGGCTTTAGAAGGGCTCTTGAGAGTGAAAACCCCAGACAAAAGGTACTATATTCCCCATGGCCAGGAAACTTCTTCCTCTTATTCTTCCAAGCCTATTGATGCATAACCTCTTACTATTTAAGTGTAAACCATACCCTATATCCTTCTACCCCTACTCTGGTAACCACATCTTATTTTCTCATATCCCTCCACCTCAACCCTTCCCTCCTCAAGTCACAGTTTGTCTCTGCTTACTCTTTCCGTTTTGTTTTTTGGAATCCTTTTTTATCATTAACAAACTTTGCTTCATCTTCTTCTTCTGCTCTCTCTGTCTTCTGGTACTCTGGGAGAACTGGGTCACTCCCAGGAGACACTGCAGCCTTGATCATCCTCTCCACTAATTGAATACACATTCTTTCTCTCACATGGATGAAACCACAGGTGTAGACCATAAGAAAAAAAAAGCAACAACCAATTGGAAGGATTCAGAGAAACACAGGAAGGCTCATATGTCTACTAGTGGATACAATATGTATTCAGGCAAGCAGATGTAGAGTAATTTGAGGAGGTCAGGAGCTTGAGGGAGGGATCACAGAAGAGGAAGGGTCTCATCAGAACTGAGCCTTAAATGAAGATAAGGATTTTGAGAGGTAGAGAGAAAACATTCCAGTGACGGGAGATGGTCTGAGTAAATGAAGAGAGATAAGAGATGGAATGACAAGTTGAGGAGACAGCTAGTAAGTTCATATGGTTAATAATATAAAATAAGAGTAGAAAGTAGGGTGAACCCAGGTTGTGGAGGCTTTAAATGAGTGCCTGAGCTAAAGTGGAAGCTATGAAAGTGGCAAGGAGGAAGTTGATGTGAGAAATATTGAGGAAGCTGAATTGGTTATATGTGGCAAATGATTCAACATTATGGGGAGAAAGGAAGAAAAAAAGAGAGAAGGAAGGATGGAGGGAAGGAAGGAAGAAAAAAAAAGGAAGGAAAGAGAGAGAAAGACATTACACGTGAATGAATAAATAAAAAAAACATTTATTAGGAAGTTACTACGTTCTAGGCATGGTGCTAAATACTGAGGATACAAATCAAAAAGCAAGATATTTCTTGTTCTCCAGGAGTTTCCATTCTAATAGAAGACAATATATATAGGTGAGGAGTGGTGAAGTAATGGTGTTTTTGTCTGGGGAGTCATAGGGATGGTGAATAGAGCCATGTAGGCAATGGATTGCTATCTGTTCTGGGAATTGTTGTGTTGATATATTATTATTGCCAGTACTGGAAGTGGAAAGGGGGGTGGTGGGGTGGGAGAGTGAAAAGGGGATACACAGCATGAAGATATTCAGATAGCTATGGAGAATTCTTGCCCATAATGAGCCCAGGGCCCTCTGGGTCGGGGCTAGAGAGCCAGGTAGGAGGCAAAGGGTCCAGCAAGGAAGCAGAATGAAGAGTGAAAAATGATTCAGATTTCCAGCCTAGGAGACTGAAAGGAAGATGATGTAAAGAAAAGAGGGAGTTTGTGAAAATCCCCACCCTCCTGCCTTCCCAAAGCACCAGCCTATTCTCAGGAGAAGATCCACATTCTCTGTAACGTACCTGTTTTTGAGAATTGATCCCGCGTTGCCTCAGCTGTCCTGCTTGGCTCCAGCTTGAGTGAGAAAGTGTTGACATTTGGACTTTCTTTGTAAAGCATGTTTTTAGTTTCACTTGTGGCGCAGCTGGCTGTGGTTTGTAATCTTTTTATTTTTGGTGGGGTGCATGTTTATGGTCAATTTACCACTATTGTGCTAACTAGCGGATGCAAATCCAAATTAGACTTACATTTCTTGATGCCTGCAAACAAACTTTATTAATCAAAACATGCCAACAATGCCCTTCTCGAAGAACAAACCACTCACCTAAGTCTTCTTGTTTTTGAGTCATTTTCTCTGTGACCCCATTTGGGGTTTCTTGGTTGAGATGCTGGAGTGATTTACCATTTCCTTCTCCACCTCATTTTGCTGGAGTGGTTTACCATTTCCTTCTCCACCTCATTTTGCTGGAGTGGTTTACCATTTCCTTCTCCACCTCATTTTACACATGAAATGTGTTTCATATTCCTCAAACTGAGGCAAACGGGTAAGTGAGTTCCTCCGAGTCACACAGCTTTTAAGGATCTGAGGCTGGATTTGAAGTCGGGAAGATGAGTGAGTCTTCCTGACTCTAGGCTAGGCACTCTATCCATTGGGCCATCTGTGTCTTAGAAGTTCCCATAAACTAATTTCATACCAAACTCCCAATAGATGTGGCTCCCTCTCTGCTCAGCCAAGGCCATGTGTCTCCCTCAGAAGTTGACATCTGGCAGGTTTCCTTCAATCAGTACTACCCTCAAGTGAACAGAGGCAATTGGGTCTCAAGTCTAGGGAACAGAGGAGTGAGTTCTAGTCACATTCTAGGGAACAGGCTGACCGCTGGGGCCTCCCATTGTTTTTTTCATAGTTCTAGGTATGGGTGTTCCTACGATATTTCCCACATCATCACTACACAAATAACTGACAAAGTTGTTTATGATTTTCTTTCATTGGTGGTCTGACTCCTCAGAGGGTTCACATATATTTTGCAGCTGTTTAAGAAGACAGATACATTTAGCACATCCTGCCACATGAACGCTTATCTTATTACTGAGGAACACCTGACTCAAAATGGCTCCAACACAAACTGGAGGCTAAACCTAAATACAATCAAACTATTTTCTTGAGGTAATAAAACTGATTCTAGCTACATTATCAGCTAGGTTAAATTGACAAAGTCGTTCCTATCATCTTACTGGGGGACTCAAACTTATTCCCACTGTGGTAAATGACGCGACCTTGGAGAAGCCAGTTTATTGCTTGGCTGCTTGATTTTCTTCTTTGTAAAATGGTTTGGGTTAGAGGTAGCTTTAGGTGTAGTGGATAGGATACTGGACTTGGAGTCAGTAAGATCTGGGTTCTAATCCTGCTTCAGATACTTACTAGCTGTGTGACCCTGGGAAAGTCACTTAAACTCCCCGTGCCTCAGTTTCTTCATCTGTAAAATAAAGGGACTGAACTCAGTGGCTTCTTTGTCCCTTCAAGCTCTTAATGTATGATTCTTAATCTATAACTGGGTCATCTTTAGGATCTTTCTGGGTGTAAGTCCTCTGAACTCCTGACCCAAGGTAAAGCAAGGCTCGTAGTGATCCAAACTCCTAGGGACCAGGTGCAAAGAAATGCTTCAGATGGGAAAGCTTTTTCGAATGAACTCTCAACATGGCACAGTGCCGCTGGTAGAAAGACAGAGGCAAAGCTGTCCCAGAAATTCTGGAGAGTGTTATGAATGAATAAGACAGCAAAGAACAGCAGCAGACAGGCATATGGCTGGGATGTGAGTTCCAGAGCTGGTCATCTCCCCACGTGAGAATAATTACTTATAGAAGTTAGATAGCGCTGTCACTCAAGGCAGTTCAGCTTAAGGTTGGCTTTCTCTCACCGAGATATGTGATTAGCAATATTTAGTCCTAAGGCAAATATTTCCTCAAATTAACTTTTAACTTGCCTACACCTTCTCTCATAATGTTCTCTGTACCCTCCTATGCAACCACACATCTGCACACGTCCACTCTCAAGTATGAACAAGTCCGTGTGTGCTTGTGTGTGTGTGTGAGAGAGTATATTTTGTGTGTGTATGAGTGTGTGTGTGTGAGAGAGTATATGTGTATGTGTGAGAGAGGAAGTATGTGTGCAAGTGTGTGTGTGTGTGTGTGTGTGTGTGTGTGTGTGTGTGTGTGTGTGTGACATGCATACCCATACTCTGGGTCTTGGATGAAAAGGGAATCAGAATACTCCTTGCCCCCCATTGACACTTCTAGACTCTTCCCCTCCTGTCATTTAGCAACTTCTCCTCCTCAGAGGTTGACTCTATCCAAATGTATCATCCAGTGCAGATTCCAGTGGCTGTAATGTATTGGTGTCCAGGACATTTTCTTTCTTTAATCAACAAATTCAGTGGATGCCACATAGTCTTCTTCTCTATCCTCATTTTGTCTTTACACTAGGGGACTTTAACATACATATTGATGTCACCTCAAACTTCCTAACTTCCCAGCTCCTTGGTCCACTCAGCCCCCTTGACCTATGCCTTTGAATTTTATCTAATCAAAATGACTTATTTTATGTTTTCTGATGTCTTTAAAGATCATAGGTCTAGGACTGGATGAGACCTTAGCGGTCATTTACTCTAATCCTTGGGCAGTTAGGTGGTTCAGTGGATAGAATACTGGGCCTGGAGTCAGGAATACCTGAGTTCAAATCCAGCCTTAAATACTAGTTGTGTGATTCTGGGCAAGTCACTTAACCCTGTTTACCTCCATTACCTCATCTGTAAAATGAGCAGGAGAAGAAATAGCAAACCAGTATCTTTGCCAAAAAGACTCCAAGTGGGGTCATGAAGAGTTAGACATGACTGAACAACAACAACATTCTAACCCTTACATTTTACAGATGAGGAAGTGGAGGCTCAGAGAGGTGAAGTGATTCCACCTCAGCTATACACAGGAACTGTCACACACTTGATCTTGCGATCCTTCACTAGAGTCACACTTCCAAGATCAAGAATTCTGAAATTCCTTCATCTGCTCATATTCTCTTGTCATTTCATGCTTTACTTTTCCTAAATTTATTCTTCATTCTTACTGTAATCTCCAATCTCTCCATCCTACTGTATTTTCCCAAATCATCACTTCTGCCTGGCCTTGTTATTCTCTCTTCTTAATACCTTTTTTTCTTAATAATATTTTATTTGCCACAACTACATGTAACAATAATTTTTCACATTTGTTCCTTTTTTTAAATTTTAAGTTGTAAATTCCCTTTCTCTTGCTCTCTCCTTTCCCCTTCTCGAGACAGTAAGAAGTCTGATATAGGTTATACATGTGCTATCATGTAAAACATTCCCATATTAGGAAAGAAGGAAGGAAGGAGAGAGAGAAAGAAGAAATGAAAAAAGAAAGGAAGAAAGACAGAGAAACATAGCATGCTTTGATCTGTATTCAGACACTGTCAGTTCTTCCTTTGGAGGCAAATAGCATTTTTCATCCTGAGTCCTTTGGGATTATCTTGGATCATTGTATTGCTGAGAATAGCTAAATTATTTACAGCTGTTCATCATACGATATTTTTGTTGCTTGTGTGCAATGTTCTCCTAGTTCTGTGCACTTCACTCTGTATCAGTTCGTGTAAGTCCAGCTTTTTCTGAAATCATCCTGCTTCTCATTTCTTAATTAATTAATTAATTTTTAGTTTTGAACATTCACTTCCACAAGATTTTAAGTTCTATTTTTTCTCCCCATCTTTCCCCTCCCCCATCCTAAGACTTCGTGCATTCTGAATACCCTTTCTGCCAATCTGCCCTCCCTTCTATCAATGCCATCCCCCTTCTTTTATCCCTTTTCCCTCTCTATTTTCCTGTAGGATTTCTATACACCATTGCCTGTATATCTTATTTCCCAGTCGCATGTAAAAACAATTTTTAACATTTGTTTTTAAAACTTTGAGTTCCAAATTCTCTCCCTTCCACCGTCATTGAGAAGGCAAGTGATTCGATACAAGTTATACATGTGTAATCATGCAAAACACTTCCATAATAGTCATGTTGTGAATAACTAACTATATTTCCCTCCATTGTACCTCGCCTCTTGTTTATTCTATTCTCTCCTTTGACCCCATCACTCCTCAAAAGTGTTTGCTTCTGATTAACCTCTCCCCCAATCTGCCCTCCCTTCTATCATCTCTTCCTCTTTTATTCCCTTCCCTCTATTTTCCTGTAGGGTGAGATAGATTTCCATATACAATTGAGTTTGTGTGTTATTCCCTCCTTAAGGCAAATCAGATGAGAGTAAGATTCACTCATTCCCTCTCACCTCCCCCTTCCTCTCTACTGTAATACTGTAACATGAGTTACAAATATCATCTTTCCATGTAGGAATGTAAACAGTTCAACTTTAATAAGTCACTTATGATTTCTCTTTCCTGTTTACCTTTTCATGCTTCTCTTGAGTCTTATATTTAAAAGACAAATTTTCTATTCAGTTCTGGTCTTTTCATCAAGAATGCTTGAAAGTCCTCTGTCTCACTGAATGTCAACTTTTCCCCCTGAAAGATTGTACTCAGTTTTGCTGGGTAGGCGATTCTTGGTTTTAATCCTAGCTCCTTTGACCTCCAGAATATCATATTCCAAATCCTCAGATCCCTTACTGTAAAAGCTGCTAAATCTTGTATTATCCTGATTGTGTTTGCACGGTACTTGAGTTATTTCTTTCTGGCTTCTTGCCACATTTTCTCCTTGACCTTGGAACTCTGGAATTTGGCCATAATATTCCTAGGAGTTTTCCTTTTGGGATCTCTTTCAGGAAGTGAGCAGTGGATTCTTTCCATTTCTATTTTGCCCTCTGGTTCTAGAATATCAGGGCAGTTTTCCTTGATAATTTCTTGAAAGATGATGTTTAGGCTCTTCTTTGATCATGTATTAAGGTAGTCCAATAATTTTTAAAATTATCTCTCCTAGATCTATTTCCCAAGTCAGTTGTTTTTTCCAATGAGATATTTTACATTGTCTTCTATTTTTTCATTCTTTTGGTTTTATTTTATAATTTCTCAATTTCTCATAGAGTCATTAGCTTCCATTTGCTCCATTCTAATTTTTAAGGAATTATTTTCTTTAGGGAGCTTTTGGACCTCCTTTTCCATTTGGCCAATTCTGGTTTTTAAGGCATTCTTCTCCTCATTGGCTTTTTGGACCTCTGTTGCCATTTTGGTTAGGCTATTTTTTAAGCTGTTATTTTCTTCAGTATTTCTTTTTTTGGCCTCCTTTACCAAGCTGTTGACTTGTTTTTCATGATTTTCTTACATCATTCTCATTTCTCTTCCCAGTTTTCCCTCTCCTTCTCTTATTTGCTTTTCAAAATCCTTTTTGAGCTCTTCCACGGCCTGATTCACCTAGTCTTGTTTCTTGCTTTCTAGCTTGACTCATTTGTGTGCCAATCAAAAAAATCCTTGGAGTTAGTGGGAATTTGAGCCCCAGATTCCTCCACACAGATTCCATGGAGACTGGAGTTTTGGGGTTAGAAGCTCACAACCAAGGAACTGGTGGGAATTTCGAGAAACTTTTTAACTATAAGTGACCTTGTTCTCTGGGACCAAGGATCCTGAGCCACCATATTTAGGTAGGCAATCAACAAATGCCATCAGAATGTTCCAAACTAGAATTGGCTTTTTTTTTTAAACTATCTTTGTCAGTGCTTCCTGGGAATGCTTGCTTTCAAATAATCCCCTGACTAGGAGATAGAAAATCCCTCACAACTTCAATGAAAGAGTTGCTTAAGGGTCTGTGTCCTCAAAACTCATTTTTGGGCTCTCTCTACTTTTCCTACTCCCTCAAATCCCAACAACTATCCAGGACTTGTTTGGAGGTTTGGACACAAAGACTTAATTTTACTACCAAAGTCCTCTTTGATTGGTACCAAGATAAATCAAATTAGTCATCATTATAAGGACCCAGCTGTGAGGTGGTAGGAAGAGGCCTGCATTGGGAGTCAGAGAATCCAGGTTTCAGTCCTGGCTCTATGACTGACAAACCGAAGGAAGGAGTGCCTCTCTCTTCTATTTTCCTCTCTGTAAACTGAGGCAGCTGGGCTTGATACTTTCTAAGCTTTCTTCCAATTCTTCCATTCTCTCTTCTGAAGTCCTGGGGAACCTTAGTTTGGTGGGTTGCTTAGAGGCTGGTGAAAGGGAGGAAGACTGCATCATCTGTGCACAAAGCACTGTCCCTGCCCAGGATTTCCTGAATCCTGACTCCCTCTATGCTCCCACCCCTCACCTGGGCCACAGAAATCAGGGTCTAGGGTTTCCCTTATCTAATTTTCACAATAATGGAGTTTAGGGATCTGATTTCAAAGTGTCTCCCCACAGCTCAGAGGACACTTCTTATAATGATTGCTGCTGTATTCCTGGTGGTCTTCACTGGTTCCCTCATGGTGACTTGTTTCTTCTGTAAAACAAAACTCCAGAGATCCAGAGGTAAGAGGTAATGCCCTTTGGCCATTAATCCTTCCATAACTCACTGGACCCTGTGATTATTACTGTGAGAGGGATCTAAGGATCCCCTAATTTGCTGGACTTGGGCATGTCCCTTGGATCTGAACATATGGACTGGCCCTGGGCTGAGGGACCTGAGCTTTGCTGGAGTGACAGAGAAATTCCAGAGTGATCCCTGTGCTAGGTGGGTTGTGTCAAAGGTGGTCATCCACTGGGAGTCAGGAGCATGCACTCTTGGGGAGCAACCTCTTAGCCATATTCTCACCTCAGCCTAATTCTCCACAGTCCCTCCTCCAAGAATTGGTTCTGGGTTACTTTCTAGGTCTAGGTAGAGGGATGGGCATTGCTGGGGCTGCCCTTTGCCAGGCTGCCTGTTCCCAGAGCTGTTCCCTTCAATACTCGAGTGTGCACCTGGTCCCAGGAACCAGCCCCAGTCAATCCCTGGGTGTCCTAGTCTGCTCTCCCTTACTCCCTTGGTCCTAACCCAGCTCCCCTCAGCCTTCTCTAGGCCTACACACTCACAGGCTGACTCAGGGAATTGAGTAATTTTTACTTGAATAAAAAAGTTAATGAATCATTTCTAAGTGTGGTTTGGACTTTGTCTCATCTGACTCTTACCTGCTTATTGAAACAGCCTGGTTCCAGGTGCCAGCTCCTCTCCCAGGCTCCTAGCAGCCCTGCTCCCTGTCACTGCCCCCCTGCCTCCAGCTTCTCTGTCCTAAATGAGGCTGCCTCCTCCCCATGCTCTTGCCCTTGGTCACCTGAGGCCCTGGACTGAGGTGGGACAGCTGGGTCATATCCTGAAGGCAGTAGACTTGTCTACCTGGAACCCAGAGAGGGCCCCTGGTTCTGCTGATTTGTTGTCTTTCACCTGAGGCTGGGACCCTTTAGTCACTGGACATTCTACCCTGCCCTCTGCCAAGAAGATTTTTATTTGTCCAGTTGAATTGGATCTTTCAAATTCAAATTTGTTTTAGAGAACAAATTTTAAATGCATTTACTTAAGATTTCATTAGTATATGTCACTTATTTTTATCTTCTCTCTAATTTTGTTCTTACTGATCCTTTTCCAGTTTTATTTTCACACATCCTGGCTGTGTGACCTTGGGCTGGTCACCTACCTCTCAGTGCTCTGTAAGTTTAGAGGGAACAGAGGAGGCACAGACTAGCATTGCTAGTGAAAGTCCCTCCTCCAGAATTCTCTAGACCAATGAAATCCCAAGTCCATTTCCTTATCCTTTAGAAAATCAGTTGTAATTGCTTTAAAATGTTTATATTTTAGAAAATAAGTCTGTGTGGTTTTAAATGGTTTTTATTTCTTATTTCTTCATTTACACTTACTTCATCAAGATATTGCTAACCCTTATAAAACAACTGATTTTGTTTTATTGACAGTAGAGATTATTCCATCGTGTCCAGCTCTAGAAGGAGGACAGAGAAGCAGCAGGGACCCCCCTCCCTCTCCTGAGAAGTTCCTGCTTCCCCACAGGCCACCAGCTGGAGAATCTATTGATCCTTTCTTGAAACAGGAAGGGGAAGGCTGGGCAATATGACTACAGAACAGGGCCTTGTTTTGTGCCCCCTTTCCCTTCCTGCATCCAGGGCCATCAGCAGTCTCCCTGATCTATATCTGGCCACTGGACCCAGATGGCTTTGGAGGAGAATGGAGGGCTACTGACCTGCGCAGCTCTCTTTCACTTAAATCCAGTTCACTTGCATGTCATGGTATCACCTCCCTGATGGTATGGTCCTCTTTGAGAACAAAGGACAAAAACCAACCTCTTTCTCTCTTTCTCTCTCTCTCTCTCTCTCTCTCTCTCTCTCTCTCTCTCTCTCTCTCTCTCTCTCTCTCTCTCTCTCTCTCTCTCTCTCTCTCTGTCTTTCTCTCTCTCTTTTTTCTTTATTTTATTTTTCCCTTCCCTCTTGTCCACATAGGGTATCATACCTTATACTCTTACCTGCAGGTGCTCTGCCCAAAAGGAATGCAAATTTTGATCTCTGAAACCTTTTTTCTTAAGGACCAGCCTTAAACTCAAATAACTGATTGGCTAACAATAGGTCCGAAGCCAAGCTCCACTTGGTCATTATTTGGGCCCTGATTGGCTCGGAGTGAACATAAACAGCAACTGTCTCTATTTTGGCTGGAAACCCTGGCCAATTTTTTTTTGACTAGCAAAGAGCCATTGACTAGCCATTCTCTGCCTCATTTCTTTAGTCTTAATCACCGAATGGGCATTGCTTCAGTCAAACTGAGACTTCTTAAAGACCTTAGCTTAAAAAGGCCAAAGTCCCACTGCATCCTGGGCTATCTCTAGTTGTCCTGATCTATATTTTGACAGCAGGCCCAGATGGTTCTGGAAGAGAAAGTGAGGCTGGTGACTTTGTACAGTCTTTCCTCACTTAAATCCAATTCACTTACATATCCTGGCCCCACCTCCCTGATGTTTTGGTCTCTTGGAGAATGAAGGACAAACAACAATAACCCTTCCTGAGGGGATATAGGTTGTTTTCAGGGAAGAATAGTACCCCTGGAGTGAAGGCTGTTGATCCCTACTCAGGGCTGCTTATCCACCTTTGGTGTCCACCTGGTTCACCCAAATTTCACCTCTGGCTCCAAGAAGCTGTATAGGAAAATAACACATATGTTCTTTTTAAAAAAACTTAATAGTATTTTATTCCCCCCCCCCAGTTACATGTAAAGATAATTTCCAATATTTGCTTTTGTAAGATTTTGAGTTCCAAATTTTCCTCCCTTCTTCCCTTCCCTCCCATTTCCCTCAGACAGAAAGCAATCCAATATAGGTTATACATGTACATTCATGTTAAACAAATTAGTCATGTTGTGAAAGAAGAATCAGAATCAGAACCTTTATATTCTAAAATGTTTATTGTGTTCTTTTTGTGGTGGCAAAGGACTGGAAATTTCAGGGATGCTCATTAATAGAGGAATGGTTGAACAAGTTGTGGTCCATGGTTTTGATGGCAAACTACTGTGCTATAAGAAATGATGAGCTTAATGATCTTACAAAAACATAGAAGGACTTGCATGAAATAACAAAGAGTGGGATCAGCAGAACCAAGAGAACATTGTGTACAGTAACAGAAATATTATTCTATGAATGACTTTGAATGAATAAGTTATTTTGAGTATTATAATTAACCAAATTAACCATAAAGGACATATGAAGAAGGACACTATCTACATCCAGAAAAAGAACTGGAAAATAGAAGTGTGTATGTAGAATACATTTTACACATATATGCATATATTGTCAACCTCCAGAGTTTGGTCTTGGGAAGACAAGCAGAATTAGTTTTAATGGGTGTTTATTTCTCTCAAATGGGCGGCATGCCTACATGGGAGCTACAGTCAGAACTGAGCTTACTCTGGGGTTAGGCTGCCCAGATTATAAAGCCATGAAGCAAGGGAGTGCCCCTGACTCAGGATGTCTGTGCAAGCTCAATCTGGCCTTGTGGTTGTTCACATAGCAAAAGGATTTGGGGCTCACTCAGAGATCCTGCACAACATTGTTGGTATGTCAGTCCAGGAGGGCTCAAATCATCCTCTCTGATTGGCCAGTCCAGGTTTTTGTCCCTCTTAGGTTAATGAGAGGCTCAAACAGGTCTCATATCCTCTCCTTTTGGTAAAAGGGGTATCTTTGGTGCCACTTGCACCAAAACAAAAGGTATGGGGAAAACCCTACTCTTCCTCAGAGAGTGCAAACGGAAGTTCTAGCAGCTTTTCCTTATTTGACCATGGGGTCACCTTATTTTCACAACCTCCTCTGTCCAAGGTGGATCCTAGCCCGAGGTGGAAGTACCATGGAGAGCATTACTTTACTCACCACATAGCAAAGCATCTCTGGGCCGAAGGCAACCCCATTCGAGCCCCAAGTAAGGCAAAAGTGAGGACAGAAAGTACCCCAGCATGAGAAAGAAGGAGTGATCTTATTAAATCCCCCACTCTGGGGGAAAGGGAACTGAACATACCCAGGGATGATAGTCAGGAAGAGTGTTAGTGTGCTCATAATGATGAGCAGCCATTGAAACACAACCAAAAGCAAGTAAAAGGAGACCAAAATGGAGCCTGAAGAAGGGGAAATGAGGGGTGTAGTGAAAGAAAATCCTACAGACAAGCAAACCAAAACCAAGGCTGAGGCAGCCAAGAGATATGGACAAGCAGCATATGGCATGGAAGGATCAAGAAAGGGAATCCCTTCTCGCAGGTCTGGTCTGGATTCATGGTGGAGCCCTCTGCCTCAGATGTCATCTTCTTGGGCACTTATGAAGCCGAAGGGCAAGGCCTCCAATGGACATTCACTTTGAGCAAAGGCTGTCTTCAGATGGTCCAGGAGTCCACACACACACTAATTTGGCAACTGTGGTCAGAAGGACCCAGTAGGGACCCTTAGAAGACATATGAGTTGACAATTGAGAGAAAACTCCTGGTATTAATCTTTGGATCTGAATTTCTAGTGAACATAACATAGGTCCTTAGTTAAAGGCACATAGAGATGGTCCAGTTTCCCAGCCACACAGGGCTAGGTTCAAACAATGCAATAAAGTTTTTCTCATATTGACCATAATTGTGTGATTACGTTAAGTCAGGTACAGATCAAACTACTTAGAGGGCTCACAATAGACTAGTTTTGAGAAGGGAGATTTATATGTCACCAAGGTAACGAAGAGAACTTAAACATAAACCATACAAAGCAATACAAGCATTATCACCTATGTTAATTAACATCAAGTCTCCTTGTATCTCAGTAACCCATTTTCAATGTCCATTTAATCAGCACTTTTTGAGTCCCAGACATTTATGTAGTTATCTGGTCCCTAGATATCTTTTCTTGGACAATAGGCTTTGTTCTCAGGGCAGCTCTAAAGGGGGTTCTGCTTCTTTCATTCCAAATTTAGAGGTTCCTAGATAATTCTGACTTAATATAATTTAGTGCAATCATTTCAATGTGATTCTCCAATTTTGAAACTTCAGAGAATTTCAGTTTATATACCGTTTGCTGTTTCTCTCCTTACCCAAATCCTGTACCTGATACAAGAATCTTTAAAAATTTGAGGATCCAACCATAAAATGAGCACTTCTGCCTTTTAAAATTATCAGAAACATACTTTAATAGTGAGAAAGTAATTTCACTTTCTTTACCTTTGTCCATAAAATTTATATGTAAAATCCAATTTTGAGAACTTATTACCAAAACATGCTCAAGCCTGAATTTCCATGATAAAGAAGTTTTAGAAGCCAATCAAATCATATACATCTATATATAGTTCTTAGATAAAACAGCCTAATCTTATTACTTTTCTCAAAATTTACTATTCCATTTAACTAGAAAACTATCACATTACATCTTTGTCATTACTTTGTCTATTCATTTTCCCTTAGGAGGCTATCATCCCTAGATTATTATTTGATCGCAAATACAGGTTAAACTTGTAAGATATTCATACTTTCATCCTATTATAGTGACTCAGAGATGTCCCAGTATCAATCTATTATTTAATAGATGCAGCATTGGACTTACAAAACTTCTTCATTATAGAAATTTGTTATAAAAGGAAAAATAGGGACATAGTTATGACAATATCATATATCACAACAGAGGGGAAAGCTTCCTTAGTTCTGTTTGATTCCAGGCATGAGTCATATCTGACAGCCAATCATATAGTCACCAAATGTTAAAAGCAAAGGCTCAGAATTAACCAGGTGGGAATTTTCCTTTTCAGAAAGGAAATAGCACAATGAGGAAATAGAGTCAGGAGGATCCTCCCTAGGCCCTGTCCACAGTCATGTCCAAAACGTTTCTCAGGGAGCAGGGGGATGATAGAGGGGAGGGCAGATTGAGGGAGGGGGTAATCAGAAGCAAACGCTTCTGAGGAGGGACAGGGTCAAATGAGAGAATAGAATAAATGGGGAGCGGGATAAGATAAAGGGAAATACAGTTACTTTTTCACAACATGACTGCTATGGAAGTGTTTTGCATGACTACACACGTATAACCTGTATTGAGTTGCTCGCCTTTTCAATGAGGGTGGGTGGGGAGGGAGGAAGGGAGAAAATTTGGCATTTTCATGGCATCTTAACCAGCAGAAAGTCTTGCTGTTTCCCTACAACTGTTTAAATGCAAATACTGAATGACAGCACAGGGAGAGGGCTATAGGATGGCATATTAAGAAGATACGCTCAAGTGAGTAAATATAAGAAAGGGGAAAGAAAAGCACCATGGAGAGCATTTGGGGGAGGAGCAATGAAGAGGATAACAGGAGAGACATTGCCGTGGGGCCATCTTATAGACCACCTGGAAGAATTAGAGAAGGAACCTGAAAAATGGATCGCAAACCTGGCATGGAAGAATTATATGGTAGTGACATAGCAGTAACTACAAAGACATCTCCTACAATGTTCTTTCTGCTAATATTAATCAAGTTGTGCTTCAGAGAAGAGTTGAGAAAATGCAGCTCTCTCCCTTCATGGCAGTGGTGGGGGACTATGGGTATGGAATAGTACATACTGTCAGATGTGGTTGCATAATGTTAGATTCAGTTAGTTTTATTCAACCACTTTTTGTCTTCTTTGATATTTGTTTCAAGTGATGGCCTGATACCAAGGAAATGGGAAAGGATAGATTCAGAAATGAAGGTGCTGTAAAGACAAGACATCAATAAAAAGAATATAAAAAATTTTCACGTTTAACTTGACTTATGGTAATTTCATCCTAAAAAAGGTAGTGGAAATGACAAAGGGAATGGAGATCTTGGGCCAGATTTTGACAAACAAGAAAAAACTGGATTCTTGAATAGAAATTGATCACTCCATATTGTAATTTGTGATACAGATGTTGGTCATCACACAATGTTTCTGTTACTGTATACAATGTTCTCCTGGTTCTGCTCACTTCACTCAGCATCAGTTCATGTAAGTCTTTCATGTTTTTATGAATTCTGCCTGCTCATCATATGGAACAATAGTATTCCATTACATTCCTATACCACAAATTGTTCAGCCATTTCCCGATTGGTGTGCATCTCTTCAATTTCCAATTCTTTGCTACCACAGAAAGAGCTGCTATAAATATTTTTGTACATGTGAGTCTTTTTCCTTTTTTTATGATCCCTTTGGGAAACAGACCTAGTAGTGGTATTGCGGGATTAAAGGGTATGCACAGTTTTATGGCCCTTTGGGCACAGTTCCAAATTGCTCTCCAGAATGGTTGGATCAGTTCACGACTCCACCAACAATGCATTAATATTCAAATTTTCCCACATCTCCAACATTTATCAATTCCCTGTTTTGTCATGTAAGCCAATCTGATATGTGTGATGTGGTAACTCATATTTGTTTTGATTTGCATTTCTCTAATCAATAGTGATTCAGAGCATTTTTTCATATGACTATAGATAGCTTTAATTTCTTCCTCTGAAAACTGTCTGTTCATATCCTTTGACTATTTATCAATTGGGGAATGATTTGTATTCTTATAAATTTGATTCAGTTCTCTATATATTTTATAAATGAGGCCTTCATCAGAAACAATGTCTGCAAAAATTATTTCCCAGCTTTCTGCTTCCCTTCTAATTTTGATTGCATTGGCTTTGTTTGTGCAGAGCCTTTTTAATTTAATGTAATTGAAATTATCCATTTTGCATTTCATATTGTTCTCTATGTCTTATTTGGTCATAAAGTCTTCTGTTCTCCATAGATCTGACAGGTAAATTATTTCTTGCTCTCCTAATTTGCTTATAGTATCACCCTTTATGTCTAAATTGTATACTCATGCTGACCTTATCTTGGGTCAAATTAAATATAGATCCAATTTAAAATGGTGGTGTATACCTACTTTGTGTCATACTGTTTTCCAGTTTTCCCAGCAATATTTGTGAAATAGTGAGTTCTAATCCCAGAAGCTGGAGTCTTTGGGTTTATCAAACAATAGATTACAATAGTCATTGACTACTGTGTCTTATGCACCTAACCTATTCCACTGATCCACCACTATTTCTTAGCCAGTATCAAGTAATTTTGATGATCGCTGCTTTATAATACAGTTTTAGATCTGGTATGGCTAGGCCACCTTCCATTGTGTTTCTTTTCATTAATTCCCTTGAAATTCTGGACCTTTTGTTCTTCCAGATGAATTTTGTTAGTATTTTTTCTAGCTCTATAAAAATTTTTTGTTTTGTTTTTTGGTGAGGCCATCAGGGTTGAATGACTTGCCCAGGGTCACACAGGTAGTAAGGGTCAAGTGTCTGAGGCCGGATTTAAACTCAGGTCCTTCTGACTCCAAGGCTGGAGCTCTATCCACTGATCCACCTAGCTGCCCCTATAAAATATTTTTGGTCATTTGATTGGTATGCCGCTGAATAAGTAAATTAATTAAGGTAGAATTGTATTGTTATATTACCTCGGCCTACCCATGAGCAACTGATATTTTTCCAACTATTTAGAACTGACTTTATTTGTGTGAAAAGTGTTTTGTAATTGTATTCATATAATTTCTGGGTTTGTCTTGGCAAGTAGACTCCCAAATATTTTATATTGTCTACAGTTACTTTAAATGGAATTTCTCTTTTTATCTCTTGCTGCTGGGCTTTATTAGTAATATTTGGAAATGCTGATGATTTATGTGGGTTTAATTTATATCCTGCAAATTTGCTAAAGTTGTTGATTATTTCAAATAGTTTTTTAGTTGATTCTCTAGGATTCTCTATGTATACCATCATATCATCTGTAAAGAGTGATAGCTTTGTTTCTTCATTGTTTATTCTAATTCCTTCTTATTGGGAAAGCTAACATTTCTAGCACAATACTGAATAACAATGATAATAATGGACATCCTTGTTTCATCCCCGAACTTATTAGAAATACTTCTGAGATTCAGAAGAAACTCATAAACCATTCAGAGCCTACCTGCTACCTGTAGTTCAATGCAGGCTTCATTATTCCAGCCAGGTGACTGGAAATGGCAAGTATATGGACCAGAGTCAGAGACCTGGACCTGCTGGATCCTCAAGATCGCCTCCTCAGCCATGTCATGTTTGGGCAGCTCCGTCCTCCCCTGGAACTAAGTGCCCTGGGATTCCTCCAAGCTCTCCCCATTCGGGTACCTGTACACGAGGGTCTGGTTTCTGAACCAGTTCACAGTCATGTCCCGAGTGTCCATCTTGGGGGAGAGTTCACAGAGAGTGTGACGTCTTCCCCCTGCTTGGCCTGAATAAGCTGGGCAGGTCACTGACAATGGTCGTTTCTGGTGCTCTAGGGACAAAGCAGAAGAAAATTAGAGGACAGTGTAGGCCCAGGATTAAGAGTATTTGTTTCTGTGGTCGGGGGGTTGCAGCAGAAGAAAGTCTTATTTCTGGATCAGCTGCTGCTCTGCTGTGGGCCCACTTCTAGCCAAATCCCTTTCCTTCCTGGGATCCTCTTCTAGAATGACATTTTCTTTCCTGACTACTTTGTATAGTCAGAAAGGGAGGGAAGCTTTTTGGATGCTAGAGGGTTAGGGATAGGGACAGGAAGGCACCAGTTGCCATCAATGGCCTTAAGGGAGGTGTTGCATTAACTTCTGCTCTACCATTACCCATAGATGACTTATAACTACAGAGGGAGCCCAGGTTCCTGGGCTGGTATTTGTCAGGCCCTTATACACTATTTGTGCATCTGAGTTAGAAGGAGGGTGGTCCAGAGAGCCAAGTAAAATCTCTATGAGGAGGAGGAGTTCAGCTTACTGGGGAGTTTGGGAGTCTGGTCATCTGAATAGATGGATTGGTCTGTCTGATGTCCTGTTCTGTATCTCCCCTGGCAAATTAGAAATGGTCTAATCCATTCATTCCAGCTAAGGTATTATGGTAGAAGATGGCTTAATATGCCAGTCCCTCCCAGAAATGTCTAGAAGTAACAGGACACTCCTAGAACTGTAATCAACAGAGACTTTGTGAAAGCTGGGAAAATTAGCTTCTGGGACCTGGCTCTGCCATCACCCTCCTGTGTGATTGCAGGCAAGTACTTCCCCATCTTTCAGAATCCTTCTCTTGGTCATTTTCCACCCTGGTGCAGCGGCCACATCATCTCCTCCCGTCTTCACAGAAAAACACTCTCCTTACCTTTCCATATCTTGCTCTGAGCACTGTAATGAAATCGATACCAACTATTGCCTCTGGGGAAAGTATGAAAATGGACTGCCCTACTGTCCTACTTCTCAAGCTCCCCAAACCACAGCTCCCTTCCCCATGTATCACTTCTCTCTTCCTGTTGGAAAATAAGTTCTTTGAGGGCAGGGACTGTCTCACTTTTATATTTGTGTATCCAGTGCTTGGCGTAGAGTATGTACGTCATAAATGGTTTTCTTTTATTTCTAGTTATTCAATTAACTATCTAGTTAAGTGCTTTGTTACTTACTTGTTTATTCATTCTCTAGGCTTCAATTTCTTCTCTTGTAAAATGAAGGAGTTTGAAAAAGTGCCCTCTGAGGTCCCTTCCAGCTTTAATTCTCTGATCCTATTCTGTGAATGATTTCAGGATTACTAAACCGTCAGTGTAGCGTACATGCTTTTTCTTGATTCAGGATGGGGTTTTGAATGATACAGGCTACCTTCCCATGGTAATTTTCTTTGATGAAGATGGAAGCTTCAGAAGATACAGCCCATTCCTGTCTTTGTCGCTTTTAAGGAGTTCTTTTTTTTCAGTGATTTTTGGCATCTCTTTTTCCATTTGACTAATCCTGCTTTTTAAGGAGTTGTTCTTTTCAGTGAATTTTTGTGCATCTTTTAGCTTTTGGCCAATTTTGCTTTTTAAGGTGTTACTTTCTTCAGTACTTTTTTAGCCTCCTATACCAAGCTGCTAATTCTCTTTTCATAATTTTTTTGCATCACTCTCATTTTTTTCCCCCAATTTTCTCTACCTCCCTTATTTTATTTTTAAAATCCTTTTTGAGCTTTTCTCAGAATTGTTGTTGGGCAGATGTATGTGTCATATTTTTCTTTGAGGCTTTATATGTAGCTCTTTTGACTTTGTTGTGTTCTTCTAAGTTTGTGTTTTGATCTTTACTGTCACTGTAGTAACTTGTTATGTCCAGGTTCTTCTTTTGTTGTTTGCTCATTTTTTCAGTCTATTTATTGACTTTTGACTTCATGTGAAAGTTGGGCTCAGGGTGGAGGAAGTACTGTCTCAAATTTCAGGGTTTTTGTGCTGCTGTATTCAGAGCTAGTTTTGGGGGTCTGAAAGTTTTGGTGCTTCCAAGGTAGTATGATCTAAGGAAAGGTCACTGTTTCCCTGTCCTGTACTCTATTAGGTGTGTGACTAAAAGCACTGCTTCCTGCTGGCAAAGGGCATAGAGCTGTCCCTGCATTGAGGGGGTCCCAAAGAAGAGGTTGACTGGAACCAAGCGCAGGCTGCAACCAGGGAACAATGGGGACACATTGACTGGTAACTGCTATTTGCTACCAACTGTAGGTGAATGGTCTGTAAGCCCTGAAGATACAAATCGGACAGAAAAGATTGCAGGGATCAGATATGACAGGATAAAATATCCTTAGCTCTGTTTGGATTCACATAATTCGGTTTTCCAACCATACAGTATCAAATCCACCTCATAGCCAGACTCAGGAATAGCTAGGTGGATAACATTCCTTTTCAAAGGAACATAATAGGGACAGCCAGGAGGACCCCATCTTACACTGAGGCTAAAATTGTCCTCTCAGCTTTTCCCGATATTGACTTCCCACCAGTATCACATTCTCTGAGTAGCTTGTGGTATTTCTCTGAGATGGTGGATTATTGATTATCAATGGATAATGATCCATTAGACAACTCAAAATAAAATCCCATGAGCTTTTATCTTAAACAGCAAGTTTCACTAATCACAGCTTAGGAAAAACTTTTCCAGGATTTACATCTCAAATTTAAATTTAAGTTTACACATTAAAACAATAACCAACAATAGCCAAATTATTTTACCAGTAACCAAATTATCAAAAGTTGCTTGACATAACTGATACAAGAAGTTCACCAATTTGAAACTTCAAATAAACCCATTACCAATTAGGTGACTTCCGTTTTACTAAATGAATTTCCAAATCACTTTACACAGAGAATCAACATCTCATTATTAACAGTGAAAGCTACAACTTTAGAAGAGCGTGCTTACCCAGGTCCACAGGCTAGCTTCTTTACCTTGAGCAGGATGTGCTGAACCTGGGTGATGTTTCCAGGCAAAGGTTGCCCTAGGGCCCAAGGCCATTGCCCGTGAGGTCCCTGCTGCATCTGCTGCCCCTCCCCTCTCCTTCCTTTCTCCAGGTGGGGCAGGGCAAAATCAAAGGTGAGGGGGAAAAGGTGAAACTCTCTTCTATGAGAGAGATTAACAGATACCTTCTTGACTCAAGGGAAGGGAGTGACCAGGTTGTACAGGTGTTTCAAAACTCCTTAATGATCAATCACAAAACCTCCAGAATCTGCTAAGATGTTTTTAGTTGTTCTAACTTTTTCCTGTAACCTCCATGAAAGAGGATCCAGGGGTGTAGAGGGAAGGGAGTAAGTAAGGCTCAGGGAATCAAAAAGCACCTGCAGTTTCCCCAGTTCCCTAGTGCTGAGAGAATTGACAGAATTAGGCATACACTTCCAGACAGGGTGTCTGTTCTTGTTCTCTATTCTGCAGAAGGTGTATCCAGGCCATGGCCTCAAACGAAACCAGTGGACTGAGAGCCTGAGAGCATCAGACTGAGTGTGAGACAGCCTCATAATTGTCTGCCCGAAAAGCATCTCCAAGCCTTCCTAGGTACTTGGAGAGCAACCCCAACTGCAGGGCAAGAAAGAAGGGGGAGAGGCTTATATTCTTTCCAGTCTTGGTTAGAGAATAACTTGAGGTTAAACAGTTTTCCCCATATGGGCCACCAAAATGTTAAGGGCTAGGAGTTTAGGGTTGCTGGGATCCCAAAATAAGAATACGTGGGTCCTGTCCAGAAGAATTCAACCCAAGCCTTCTTTAAGCCAGAGACAAGGTTTATTAAAACATCCACCATATTGGGCTGACTCTTAAGGAGTCTGAACATTAGTGAGCTATTAGCTAGATTTTAAGAATCTGAGAGCCTTAATGGAGACAAGATGGACCTTATATGCAGAAAAACTGTGAGAGAGATCTAGGAGTAGCCAAGTAGTCTGTGGGGACTGTGAGGTAATAGAATGCCAGGGACCTGGACCACCTGGCTAAGGGAGAATGAAGCCTAGTTAAGATTAAGGGTGAGAAGTGGCCTGGGGACATCTGGAGGTAAGAAAATGGAGGGCCAGGCTAGGGTAAACTGTAACAGAGAATTGGGAGATTGGGTTTGGACATAATGAAAGGCTAGTTGATGGGATTATAGCCTCAGGTAAAATCTATAGATGTGGCTATGTGGGAAAGTCCAGAGTTTTTTTTTTTTTGGGGGGGTCCAGATCCCACCTTCATCAATGCTAGGACACAGTCCTAGAAGCTGCAGGAACCAGGAAAGGCCTTCTGATAGTGGTGACAGAAGTGAAATCTTAAAGAAAGCAGAGTCTAAGAGTCTAAGGTTGGCAAAGGAATAGAAGGAAGTAATTTCAAATCTCTACTTGCTTGTGAATGTGGGAGGGGAGAATTTAAGTATTCTATTTCCTCTTCTGATATTCTGGGAAATTTAGATTTTTTAAAATATTCATCCGTTTCACTTAGATTGTCAGATTTATTGGCATACGATTGGATGAAATAACTCTCAGTTGTTGCTTTAGTTTCCTTTTCCCATAACTACCCTATCACTTGAAAGTGTAGCTATTTTTTTATTTATATAGGCTTGAAAAATTTCCACATCCTGTTTTGGCTTTCTGGCTATACTTAATTTCTTATTTTCCATAACAACTTGAAACAGCCTCAAGAAGATGTTGACTTAGCCTGGGTTCTACAGCTGTTAAGAGGGCAATTCAAATTTGAACTTGGATCTTCCTGACTCCAAGCCCAGCATTCTTGGAACCAAGCTGCTTAGCCGCCTACATCAATAACTGAAAGGGACCTCAGAGGATATCAGGTCAAGCTCCCTCAATTTGTTTTGTTTTTGTTTTTTTGGTGAGACAATCGGGGTTAAGTGACTTGCCCCGAAAGAATTCAACCTAAGCTATTAAGTGTCATGTGTCTGAGGCCAGATTTGAACTCAGGTCCTTCTGATTCTAAGGCTGGAGCTCTATCCATTGTGCCACCCAGCTGCCTCCCTCAATTTGTAGATATGTAAGTTATGGCCCATGGAGGGTAAAATGAC